TGCGTTTGGTTTCGATTCAATTTCGTGGATTGTATCTAAATGTCGAAACATAAAGCAGTTGTTGACGCAAGTAGTCAGCTGCATGTTACAGTAAAGGTTCGTCTGCTTTTGGGCGTTTCTTTGGACTGCCAATGATACCGATACGCAGCTATAAATACAATAGTATGCAAATTTTAATTTAGGCCTCAATTTTTGACCGTTTTAGATGTTGAGGATCAAAAGATCTTGGTTGAATTCGATTTTGGTGCATCTGCTTGGATTATGGCCTTACATACACAGAGCGTAACAAAGTTTGTGAGCTTTATATTGTGATGAATTGAGAACACGGGAGCAAGAATCATACCGATAATCAGCATACCGCGACCTTCTGTTCCGGAGTTAAGCCCCCTGGAAAACCTTGTGGAAGCGACAGGGACTTGCGTTTTAACCGTGTTTTATTTTTTCACATTTGATGTGAAGCATTGGGGTCATGAGACGACAAACCCCATCGAGTTACCAAACTTTGCCAAAAACCTTGTGAACGCGATATAGGTTACAGTTTCATATTCGATGTGTAGCATTGGGACAATGAGAGGTTGAGCCCTATCGATTTTCCCTGTTCCCTATCCATATCTTACAGAATCTCGGCGTATCGTGTATGCCAACCGCTTGTTTTGTTTTAAAAGTGTAAGCGTGGTGATAATTCAGGAAGTTTTTATTTCACTTCTAGTGAGCCTTAGTTTTGGTCACAACTAATTTGGTCACGATTTCAGAAGGTTTATTCCAACACATTAGAGCTAATAACGGTGATGGAAGAAGCTAAATTGAGCTACCAAGTTCTGTGTGGAAAATCGTGAGTCATGTTTTGGAAATTTTGTCGGAAACCAAAGGGGGGAAACCCAGTCAAAAAACGTCCATCTCCGGAAACCGTGCTTCGTCAATAAAACCTTAAAATAGGCCCTGTCATCACCCCAATTAGAAAAACTTGCAGTCTGTTGCTGTGGCATGCGTGGCACTGATGCGTGTGGCAACAGTTAAAAACAACATGTTTACATAGTAAGTTTAGGACTGGCAGGTTGGGTTGTAGAGTATGTCCAGACACCGCTTGAATTTAAATTTAATCTAAGTTACATGTTGATGCTATAATTTAAATCTGTCAAATAGGCCTAACACACCAATATAGAAATAATAATCAGTAGTTATATCTTTTAAACTTATTTAAAGATAAAAAAAAAAAATTAGCCTACCTGTTCACAAGCATGTTGACTACCATTTATACAAGTTGACGTCATTACGTCGTAACCATCGCAGATTATTACATCATGAGTTCGATCCGGGGTACAAAATACGAAGAAGTCCGAAAGAATAGTTACCAGCGGGTATCTTCTTGGATCTAGCTGATTACCACATCCAGATGAAATTTTAATGTCTGGTTACTAAATCTTTTGAATTAAAGGCTCCAAGACCGTATTTCAAGACTTCTAATACTAAGGCAGGGTATTTTGTTGACCGCCGGGTAAGCCCATTGGCCGACAAATGTTTGCTTATTCAGTTCAGTATAGGCTATATCGAACCAATTATTTGAAAAAGTCGGCAGCCACATGTGTCAATTTGGTCATAAAATCATAAAAAAATTCCTGGTTTAAGCGTAGGACGTATGTGACGCCTTCTCAACTTTTTGTGTTTACTTAGGGTTTTCCCGTTTCCTTCAACAGGAAAGGACCTTACTTATGCGCTGAATATACTTAAAGAAAGACTTGTCTGCGATATCACTATCACCCTACGATCAATAACGGGGCAACACCGATGATGTTGTCACGTGAACATCCCCCGCCATTGTTTACATCCAAAAACAATGGATACCAATCTTGTGAAAAACCCATCCACGTTATCACTGTTACAGATAGTTGCTGGTGGCAGTTGCTGATAGGTCTTAATGGTCGAAATAATTTCTGACCAGGACCAGTTTGAGGAGATGGAGAGTACATCCCTTAAATAGCATCCTTAAAAAAACACTTGCCCATAGCCTTTCCTTGAGAGGCACAACCAAAGTAAAAACAATCACCCACCGCCTTTCCTTGTTGAGCACAACCAAAGTGAAACCACGCACCCATCACCTTCCTTGTCAGGCAAAACAAAAGTGAAACCACACGCCCATCACCTTCCTTGCCCGACAAAACCAACGTGAAAACATACGCCCATTACCTTTCCTTGCCAGGTGAAAACACTCGCCCATAGCCGTTTCTTGCCAGGTAGAACCAATGTGAAAACACGCGTCCAAAGCTGTTTCTTGCCAGGTAGAACCAAAGTGAAAACACTTGCCCATAGCCGTTCCTTGTCAGGCACGACCAAGCGGAAAGCACACACACACCGCCTTTCCTTCCCAGGCACGACCGAGCGGAAAACACGCGCACGTAGCCTTTCCTTGTCAAGCACAACCAAAGTGAAATCACGCACCCACTGCCTTTCTTTGCCAGGCAAAACCAAGCGGAAAACACACGCTCATAGCCGTTTCTTGCGAGGCACAACTAAACGGAAAACACGCGCCCATGGCCTTTCCCTGCCAGGCACAACCAAGCGGAAAACAGGCTGTTAATGGCCCCCTTAATCAAATTGTATTTGATTGTTATTTTTGTTGCGTATTCTGTATATATTTGTCTACCATTCACATACCTGTATCATTTGCTTGATAAAGACGAGAGTATCCTCGTCGAAACGTCTCTTAGTATATAAGAAGGCTGGAAGATTGTTAAAGGTGTTAAATGATAAAAAAAAAAATTCACTTCCGGACCGGTTTGTGGAGATGGCGAGTAAATTCCCTAAAATGCAGACCCTATTATTGTCCACGCCCATCATTCGATGATTGTCTCTACAGGAGTCATAACCTTATATCCATTAAAATAAGTCCTAGGCGTATAATATAATTAAAACTATCCACCTGCCATAATCCGATTATTGTGTCAGTTATCACTCAACTTGACATTTATATGTCACGAAGATCAAGTTAAAGTGACGCATCGGAGTTGAATTAAAAATGAAAGCAGTCGGAAAAGTTCATATACGCCACAGGCTACTAGTTTGTAGCCCAGCGCGCTGACGCTCGTAGTGGTTTCTGTAGGCTACTAGTTTGTAGCCCATGCGCTGACGCTCGTAGTGGTTTCTGTAGGCTAATAGTTTGAAGCCCAGCGCGTTGACGCTCGTAGTGGTTTCTGTAGGCTACTAGTTTGTATCCCACCGCGTTGGCGCTCTCAATTGTTTCTGTGGGCTGCTAGCTAGTCTGTATCCCGGTGCGCCTACGCCCCTAATAATGGTTTATGTAGGCTACTAGTCTGTAGCCCAACGCGTTGACGCTCTTAATAGTTTCTGTACGCTACGGGCTACTAGTTTGTAGCCAAACGCGCTGAGGCCCCTAATGTCTTCTGTAGGGTAGTTCTAGTTTGTAGCACAACACGCTGACGCTCCTAATGGTTTGTGTAGGCTAATAGTATGTAGCACATCGCGCTGCCGCTCCTAAGGGTTTCTGTAAGCTACTCGTCTGTAGCCCAACGCGTTGACGCTCGTAATGGTTTCTGTAGGTTACTTGTCTAGCACATCGCACTGACGCTCTTAATGGGTTATGTAAGCCACTAGTCTGTAGTCCTTCACACTGACGCTCCTAATGGTGTATGTAAGCTACATGTACTAGCCTGTAGCCCAACACGCTGATGTTCCAAATGGGTTCTGTAGGATAGGTAAAGAGTGCTCAATGACACAATTTGCGTCAGGGCTTTTAGAGTTTTTTTGTCCGCTTGATATTGGAAATAAACCACGTCGCCTCAACGCTGTTTTAACGCTACAAATATAAGGGGGTGTATAAATATTGGATTGTTGTGACCCTCAGGGTTTTGTTCCTCGTGTAACATCAGTAGTCATCACGCCTGTGGGTCGCTTTATCCACTGCCAGTCTAATGTCCTGGTGGATTTGTTAAAGCGACTAAACTGACAATTTCATTGATAATGCACAGCGCGTTCATATCAATCAGAACGCGGTGTTTATTTTTAAATTCTACGATATCATAAACTCTGCTCTAGTATAGACAAATAATATCGAACTTGAATAGAATTGTTAAAAAAAAACAAAATAAAATTCGAGGCTTAATCAAATTTTAACATGCGATCTTCTTTAACAAACTTTTGATTCCTTTTCTTTGAAACATCAACACAGGCCTTGATGGGCTGAACGACATCTTCTGTGTCAAATTACGATTGGGACTACTTTATTATGGCAGCAAAATCGGGACTATTTCGTGTGTAATTGGCTAATGATCCACTAAGAATGTGATAACGATCTGTATTTTCATCTTCGTGTGCCACGAATATTTCATTGTTATTTTTGATGAGAAGGCTACATGTATTGTTCGTGTGGGCAGTGCTGGAGGTAGAGAGAGGGAAATCAAATGGGGTTTAGCATCTTGCTTTGCTGCACCAACCGGGATAATGAAGAGGGGCATATGCCATGAAGGAAACTGTGTCCGGACATCGGTGATCCGACCTGCTGTTATATCCATTCTACTGTCAAGAGATCTTTGACGTGTACGCTTAAGTGTACACGCTACCTCCGTTTTTCGTGCCATTCGAAAGACTAATCGTTGCCCCATGCCAGTCCCTCCGTCTTGCAGCACTGACAAGGGGACAACTACTCACGAGGAACTTTGACGGCCAACACTGGGATCAACCCTCGGACTCCCTGGTTAGTGAGTCAGCGCCTTACCCACCGATCCACCGTGACCCCGAACAGGCCCTGGCCAACTTTGAAGTAGCCGCCAAATCACGTATAAGACCTCAATCAACTTACAGAACCTATAAATTAAGAATACAAAAACGCATGTGTGAAACATAATCCACGAGACTACGTTATTCAAAACAAACCGAGCCATTAGTCTCTCTCTCTCTCTCTCTCTCTCATTTTGGGACTAACACGTGCTTATTTTTATGTACGCAATACGCGGAAGGATATGGATTGTGCTGGAGTACCTTGATTCAAGACGATGTATGTATGGCGGGGATGGTGACCAATAATCTACTTATTGTCTGTAATTAATCGTCTACATCTCCGATTAATTATTTTAGAGGCTTAAGTATCACGACAGCCACATGTTGTTTTCAGTCTACATCTCATTTGGCATTCTGTATACTTCGGGCCTTTACTACAAGAGCACTGTTCTAGGACGGTACCAGATTCCAGTCGAAGAAGGTATTCGGGTGATATTTTTGTTAAGACTGTGTGATCTGTGTTTCTACCGACAAGGAATATTTGATTAAAATTTCAAGGTAAGTTGTTTCAAATATAATAGTACAACATATATTTGTTAGAGGTATGTGTGTGTGTGAAAGGGAGAGAGAGCAAGGGAGAGAGGGAGAGAGAGAGAGAGAGAGAGAGTATGTCATACTTCGTGCACGACATATGTCACTACTTACAGCTAACTGAAGCAGTGATGTGTACTATACTTCAGAAGCTTGGGGCTACTAGCGATGTTGATATTTTGAATATTCTTTAAAAGTGAATAATGTGCTCAACATGTGGCGTAGCCTACTATTTCAGCACCAACTGACACTGCCAATAGTTAATGGTGTCACAGTAAAACATGTTTTGGGGCGAAAAACCGAGAACAACCCACGTGCACGCGAAGGAACTCTTGCTAACTGGGTCAAAATACCACTGCATCGGTCAAATCCCCCTACCCCCTCGCATTTACACATAACCCTACATGACTGGGGATCTTGATCAAGGAACTAACCTCGTGATGAGAATACATAGGGCTTGAGGACGACGTGGATTTTCAAGCCGTGTTGTCGGATGGGACTCAAAAATGGGTACACTCCATGCACACATAGACGTGCACATAAGAGAAAACAATCGATATCCTCCTTCCTCGCATTTAAAACATAACATAAGTTAGTCTCAATATAACCAAAATAGGTCGGGTGTTCGATCCCTGCATTGGCCGAGAAAGTTCATCTAGATTTTCCGGCGTGGTTCTCCCTTGTCAGTGATGCGGGACGGAGGGGCTGACATGGAAAGCTGTCTAGTCGTTCGGATGGGACGAAAAACCGAGGTCCCGTGTACACATTGCCGTGCACGTAAAAGATCCCTTGGCAGTTGGAATTCGATATAAGAGTAGGCCGTAGTGCCGCTGTCCGGGCAAAATTACCCTCATAGCACACTGTATGCCGTATGCCCGCCTTCATAAGCGCAGGTTAGGAGCAGAACAGTAGGACGTTAAACTCCATTTCATTTCATTTCATTTCATTTCATAACCAAAATATTTTTGTGGCGAGACTAAAAAGCCCATTAGATGTTTTTGTTCAATATGCTAGATAGTGATCGTCAATCGAGTCACAACATTTGTTAGCGACAATAATTTCCGAAATATATCGCATACATAGTCTAAAAGACCTAATAATAGGCTACCCCTTCCCATAGCTAACAGTAGGAGGTTAAACCCCATTTCATTTCATTTCATTTTCCTATAGCTAACAAACAACCCGTGTTCTTTTATATTTCTAATTAATTCTCATGATTCCAGATCAATTGAAGAATTAAAATAATTATCTACTTTGACTAATTAAAGAATATTGATATATCATCCTGACCTCACAACAATCTCATCTTGTCACGTGATCACCTTTATACACTGAAACACGTTAAATATAAAACTAGGAAATATCACAAACCAGATCCTAGGTCAGTGTTTATGTGGAGACTTAACCTCTCCCCCAAAATCTTAAACCTAACCTACAATCTCGCCAACAATCACGTGCCCTAACCTTATTTACATGGCTGAATGGTTAGCAGGTGCGCGTTGTATCATAAGTTCTGTCATTGAGTCAACTGGCGAGGTTTCGATTCCCCGGTTGTACCTGACGTGGAGTAGGGTCTCCTGTCCAACCTCGTGGGATTTCTCCAGGTCCTCCGGTTTCCTCCCACGGCTAAACACCCCTACGCGCAAGCGAATTATTGAAATAAAATTTAACCATACAGTCCCGAAATGACCTAGTTTGTGTCGAGTGGACGTTTAACTCTCTCTCTCTGGTGAGGATAAGGGTTTAATACAAATGTATTTCTAAATATAATACACCAGTAAATAAACAATATCCGCGGATTAGGTCTGAAAATATTGGTTGCCAGGAGACAAAGGGGGGAACCCACCAATACAATTCTATCAATCAATTTTTAAAATGAACAAATTAAATTTTCAAAACATTTGTAAGTGGAAACAAAAAGATGTAATTAGAATTTTCCCGATTTTGTTTTCTTTATATTTTTTTTGATAATTTAAACTTTAAATATATTGTCTAATGTCTAATTCCTTGGGGGCCCACTTTCCATTGGGCAAGCTGACAACCTGGCCAGTCCGCCACTGTGTCTCAATATATAATTTGAAATATTCTCCATGGTTAGATAATAACATGAAATAAAAAGTTATGTGAGTAAGAGCCAATAGTATTTATATTTTTGTATCCCGCGACGTACAATTTTAAAGGTGGGATATTGAAATGGTCTCAGCCCGTCCGTCCGTCCCCGGTTTATTTCCAGCGGATGTCCTATAATCATTATTATAGTAGTTGTATCTTTTGCTAATTAGAAAGTTCCCGGGTTTAATCATTTTTATGTTTCCATGGAAACAAATTTGATTTATTTCTTTGGTATAGATGACTTAGTTTTTCTTGTTTTTGCTGTAGGTTCGTGTGGTTGTACTTACTAGACACCAGTATGGTAAGTTATATTATTGTCTTGACCTTTATTTCGTTATTTCAGGTTTCCTTTTTCACGGCTTGCCAAAGCCCCTTTTCCCAGCCCTCTCCCCATTTTTCTAAACCCTGTACCATAACTTTCGCGCTCTCCCCCTTTTATAACCCGGCTCTCCGACCCCCTTTGAAATGCCCCAATACACCCTTCAAGTGATTCAAACGTTTGTACTGGTTGCATTTTAGCAACATTTAAAAAGACAAATTAAACGTTTCAGTCAAATAAAACATCTTTGGATCGCGAACGTCAATTATTTGATCGTACGAACCGATTCGTCTTATTGTTAATTGCCGTGAACGAACTTTTATTTCGAATTTTCTAACCAATGAAATTGAATTCATTGTTCACAAATGTTTGTACTGGTTGCATTTTAGCAACATTTAAAAAGATAGTACGACGCAAAAAGACAAATGAAACGTCTTTGGATCGAGAACATCCATTATTTGATTTTATTCTGTAGTAAAGGTATAAACTTTCTGGAATGATACATTAGTGAAATTATTTTTTTTTTTTAATAGGTCTAACGACACTCTGTGATCATGCTATAATAGAACTAAGCTCAGCTCAGCGGCGCATACGTACGCGACTCGAAAATATGCCAAAACTGTAAAACTACATTGACGCTACGGATGGGAAAATAGGTTAGCACGTGTGCGCTGTATCATAAGGCCTGTCATTGAGTCAACTGGCGTGGTTTCGAATCCCCGGTTGTACGTGACAAGGCGTAGTGTCGCCTGGGGTTTCTCCGGGTCCTCGACCGGTTTCCTCCCACAGCTAAAGACCCCTACGCGCAAGCGAATTATTGAAATGAAATTAAACCATATGTTTGTCCCGAAATGACATAGTTTGTGTCGAGTGGACGTTAAGCCCCATTTCCCCCACCCCCACCCCCCAAGTTACACGTGTGTGTTATTTGTTTATTTCTGTTTTTTGCTTTCCAGCGTACGTCTGATTGGACCAACAACCACTCTAATGTGGCTAACTACATGTTTTTGATGCAGTCTAGTAATTATACGGTAAATAGTGTTAAAACAATTCAGGGGTGGAGTGAGAAGGAGTCTGTGATTACGGTAGGCCCGGGGGCTCAGGCGTGGAGTGAGGAGTCTGTGATTACGGTAGACTCGGGGGGTCAGGGGTGGAGTGAGGAGTCTGTGATTACGGTAGACTCGGGGGGTCAGGGGTGGAGTGAGGAGTCTGTGATTACGGTAGACCAGGGGGCTCTGGGGTTGAGTGAGGAGTCTGTGATTACGGTAGACCAGGGGGCTCTGGGGTTGAGTGAGGAGTCTGTGATTACGGTAGACCAGGGGGCTCTGGGGTTGAGTGAGGAGTCGGTGATTACGGTAGGCTCGGGGGCCGTTGAAGTATATAGTACTACCCCGTCTTTCTCAAAGCAAGGTCTTCCTCTGCGCTTTTGATAATTCAAGGGGGGTATTGATGTTCTTAGTTGTTCACTAATTATTTAGCAATCTGATTAAATACAGATCTATATTTCGTTTCGTATTTTTATATTTTCGATGGCCTACACTACATAAAGATCTGACAAATTGTACTTGAAGTTCGTGTAAGGGTTGTACGAGCGGCTTTTGACCATATGACGTCAGATATTGATTAATCAATCAGCGTTGACGTTTCTAGTGGTTTACCCGCAGTTCCGTGCATCGCACGCCAAGACGCGGCGTAACAGACCGTTTCATTGGCTAATCCCTCACTTCAATCAAAACGCCCGTAATATAACAACTTATCCAGATCGTAGTGTAGTTAAGAAACGTTAAACGAAATTTTGAACTATAAAAAACGAAACGAAATAGGATCTGTGTTTTAATCCGATTGATTATTTAGGTGACTTACTAATATTTCACAAACTATTGATGTGAAATCGTTTGTCCTGTTAATCACTGACAAGAATGTTTCTTTTGTCAATGAAATTATTTAAATTTCAGATATGTAAAACGTATTTCCTTATTGGTCATAACTTGCAATAATTTAGGTGATATTGACAACAAACGATTTCGTCGGTCCTTATTGTTAATTAGTATGGCCCCAAATCGTTGATTATAATCTAGACTGACAAGAAACCATTGTGGGTCTTATTTGATTTTAAAAAAAACTATTTAAATTATTTTGAAACTATTTATTTTAGAACTATTTATATTATTTTAAAATAATTTATTTTATTTATATTATTTGCAGGTGTCTGCATCAGATGAGCATTATTTAGTTCGTATAACATTAACAGGGTGTGGTTTATCATTAGTTGGTTGTATTATCTGTTTATTTCTTATTTGTTTCTTACCGTAAGTATTTACTATGTACTATAAAATACTCTGTGGGCCTGTTCCTAGGGGCATTGCCTCCGATGGTGACAAGCGAAGTATATTCGAGTCGTTCAGATGATGCCCTGGTAACAGGGACTAAAAGACTAGTAAATAGAGCCTTCACAGTGCACACACCGATATACCGCACACACCACCAAGGTAAAGAAACGACCGTACATTGGTTTCAAAATGACCGCAGTATTGTACTTTGACGTACAAAATGACCGCTTATTGAATAAGCTTTATGGTGTATGCCCGTCTTCATTAGCCAGTCGGAGCAGAACAGTTGGACGTTAAACCCCATTCCATTTCATTTTATTTTATTTCTTATTGAATAAGACATTGGCTTGCTAACCTGGAGGTCCCGTGGTTCGACCCCTGTGTTTGCCGAGACAGTTCTGGCGTGGTTCCCCCTCGTCAGTGGTGCAGGAAGGAGGGCCTGGCAAAGGACAACGTATACTCATTCGGATGAGACAAAAACCGAGATACGGTGTACACATTGGCGTGCACGTAAAAGATCCCTTGACAGTCGGAATTCGAAATAAAAGTAGGCCGTATTGCCGCTGCCTGGGCAAAATTCCCGCAAACTACGATATATGAATGAACCGAGGGCTAGTCGTAAGCGTCCATGGCTGTAAATCAGCATGAAGATATATTAATATTTGTTTTTTTGTTTTTTTATTTCAGACGACAAAAAGGAGACGGACCGTTTATTGTAGCTAATTTATGTTCAGCTTTGTTGACAGCTCAGTTGGCTTTTATTGGTGCCGAGAATGCCTATCCGACTAGAGTAAGTATTAGACGAGAGAATGTTTACCCTACTAGAGTAAGTCTGTTGTTATATTGGACGAGAGCATGTTTATCCTACTGTATTAAGTTTTGGACGAGAGAATGTTTATCCTACAAGTGTAAGTCTGTTGTTATATTGGACGAGAGCATGTTTACCCTACTAGAGTATGTATTGGACTAGAGCATGTTTATTCTACTAGAGTATGTATTGGACGAGAGCATGTTTATCCCACTAGAGTAAGTATTGGACTAGAGCATGTTTATTCTACTAGAGTATGTATTGGACGAGAGCATGTTTATCCCACTAGAGTAAGTATTGGACCAGAGAATGTTTATCTCACAATTCTTCTATTCCGATGTTTTTCGCCACAAGGAAAAGAGTTGGTGCCCACAGAACCTGGTGGGTTTCCAACAACTATAGGGGGGCCTGGGTGCGGGCATACGAATTACTGAAACATAGATGTTCGTCTCTAATTTACCTAGCTAGGTTGATTGGACATTCGAACCCGGTGTTGACCGAGGAAATTCCTAGGGATTTTCCACCTTGGCTTTCTCTTGTCAGTGGTCAAGGTATCCCATGGCAATTCGAATTCACTGAAGTTTAGGCAGAAATGTAGCTTTCCGGGAGAAATGACTCACATAGCACTCTGCATGGCGTATGTCTGTCTTTAATAACAAAAATGAAATGAAATGAAATGGTGTTTAACGTCCTACTGTTCTGTTCCTAAACTGGTCTAATGAAGACGGGCATATGCCATACAGTGTGCTATGAGGTAAATTTTGCCCGAGCAGCGGCGCTACGGCCTACTCTTATGTCGAATTCCTACTGCCAAGGGATCTTTTACGTGCACGCCAATATGTTCACGGGACCTCGGTTTTTCGTCCCATTCGAACGACTAGACGTCTTTAATAACACATTGGTGCAGAAAAATAGGACTACAAACTGAGATCCCAGGCAGCACGTTAAAGAACCATTGGTAGATCGATGAAGAGTAGGCCGAAACGAAGCTGCCCGGGCAAAATGACCCACACAGCACACTACATGACGTATGTCTGTCTTTAATATCGCATTGATGTAAAAAAAATGAAAAAAAATAGACCGTTGATTTGATTTGAAGTGTTTCTATTTTTGTAGACATGGTGTAAAGGAGCGACAGCGGTACTACATTATTTATATCTTACCATACATTTCTGGTCCTTGTGTTTCTCACTCCATCTCATGATGAAGGTAGGATTAATATTGTTTTACTGGTGGTGTTGTGGGGGGGGGGGCACCAACCAGGGTGCAGTCCCGATGTTGGCCGAGAAAGTTCCCTGGAGCCACGGTGGCTAAATGGGTAAGACACTAGTTCGCTATCCTGGAGGTCACGTGTTCGATCCCTGCATTGGCCGAGGAAGTTCTCTGGAGCCACGGTGGCTAAATGGGTAAGACACTAGTTCGCTAGCCTGGAGGTCGAGTGTTCGATCCCTGCATTGGCCGAGGAAGTTCCCTGGAGCCACGGTGGCTAAATGGGTAAGACACTAGTTCGCTAGCCTGGAGGTCGAGTGTTCGATCCCTGCATTGGCCGAGAAAGTCCATCGGGATTTTACGATGTGGTTTCCCCTTGTCAGTGGTAGAGGACGGAGGGCCTGACAGGACAGTCGTCTAGTCGTTCGGATGGGGCGAAAAACCAAAGACCCGTGTACACAATGGCGTACACGTAAAAGATCCCTTGGCGGTTGGAATTCGATATAAGAGTAGGTCATAGTGCCGCTAGCACACTGTATCGCGTATGTCCGTCTTCATTAGCCCAGTCGGAGCAGAGCAGTAGGACGTTAAACCCCATTTCATTTCATTTTCATTTCGTCTACCTCTGTGCCAATGATGTAAGAAGGAGGGCCTGGTCAGGAGCAACGTCTAGTCGTTTGGATGGGTAGAAAACCCGAGACCGTGTGTGACGTTGGAGTGATCGTCATATAAATAACCATTTTTCGTCTTTATTAACACGGTTGGTGGTGAAAAGGAAGGACGTTCAACCCCATTTCGCTTTTTCACATTTCTCAAAAGGTTTTATTTAGTTAATTGTAAGGATCCGTTTTCTTCCATGCCATTGATCCCCGGAAAGGATGTAGTACATCCCCAAAGCAACATTCTCAATATAGACCCATTGATATGATTTCTATTCAAAATTAGATTTACCTCTTATTTATTTTGATAGAATACATAAAAATGTGTTAAAAACAACATGTATTTTATTTTAATAATCTTTAGTTGTTGGGAATATTACAAACAGAGAAGTCCAAACGTCGTTTAATGTTGATGTGTATTGGTTGGTTTCTACCTACTATAATAGTTGGTATGACGGCTGTATTACGTGGAGACACATACGGTAAAGATCAGCTGTAAGTAAATTATCATAAATATTTGTAGACCACAATTTGAGCACAGAGTGAGAGAGGGGGAGAGAGAGAGTTTCTGTATTTAATGTTTTGTTTCTAGTCCTTGTTGAGAATCATTGAAAATTATCAGGTTCCTACTGTCCATAGTTCAAAATGAAGAGAGAGAGAGAGAGAGAGAGAGAGAGAGAGAGAGAGAGGGGGGGGGGGGGGTGCTAACGCCCACTCGACACAAACTAGGTCATTTCGGGAATGACATGGTTCAATTTTATTTCAATAATTCGCTTGCGTGTAGGGGTCTTTAGCAGTGGGAGGAAATCGGAGGATGCGGAGAAAACCCACGAGGTTGGGCAAGCGATCCCACTCCTTATCACGTACAACCGGGGAATCGAAACCTCGCCAGTTGACTGAATGACAGACCTTAAGATACAACGCGCATGTGATTATCATTCGGCCGTCCAAACCCCGGCCTCAAGCCAAATAAAAGTACATATACAAATATATTGACATACCTTCATAAAAATATGCACATTGTTGTCACGCGTGGAGTTTTTTTTGTAAAATAGGGTTTATATAATCTTCTCGTCGGATCCAGTATAATTTGAGCCACTGTGACTCGTTGCGTAAGGCGCTGGACGACTAACTAGGGGTCCCGGACTCAATCCCGATGTTGCTCGAGAAGCTGTCTGTGGACTTTCCATCTTGGTTTAAGGCTCTGCTGGCTTTAAGGGACATTTCGATAGGTCACCTAAAGATACAGATATTTTGGGTTCACCGATAAAAGAAAGGAAGTTAAAGTTAACAACAGAAAATTTATTCCTAAAAAATTCAGAACCAATTTTTTTTGACAGTACTGTAATTATTGTAAGATTTAACAGTAGTTAGATTACAACTTTTTTTACTTTATTTTTTGTGGCTTGGATTTTTGGCTGGCCCTAGATAAAGCAAGATATATTGTGATCTTATATTTTAATCAAATTTTTAATCTTATACTTTAATTTTAATCTCATATTTTAATTAGTTTTTTTAATCTTATATTTTAATCTTATATTTTAATTAGTTTTTTTAATCTTATATTTTAATCTTATATTTTAATCTTATATTTTAATCTTATATTTTAATCTTATATTTTTATCTTATATTTTAATCTTATATTTTAATCTTATATTTTTATCTTATATTTTAATCTTATATTTAATCTTATATTTTAATCTTATATTTTAATCTTATATTTTAATCTTATATTTAATCTTATATTTTAATCTTATATTTTAATTAATATTTTAATGTTATTTTTGTTTTTAAGTTGTTGGTTGACGGCAGAGAAGAACACAAGATTAGCTTTCCTGGGACCAGTGTATTTTATCATGACTGTAAATATATAGTTTATAGTAAATTCAAGTTAATTCAAGTCCCCTTCATACTTATTCCAGTGTGATCATTGCTAGGCTGGAAGGAACATAATATATGGCTTGTCCTTCGGATGGGACTAACAGCATTCCCAGGGTTGCCTTGTCAACTGAAAATAACATGTATGTCTTGAACTTCGGATGGGACTAGATTTGCCAGGGTTCTTGAAACATACCTTGTCAATTGAAAAGAACACGAATGACTTGTCCTTCGGATGGGACTAACATTGCCAGGGTTCTTGAAAGATACCTTGTCAACACGTATGTCTTGCCCCTTCGATGGGACTAACACCATTGGTAGATTACATAAAAGATACCTTGACAATTGGAATGAATATTTATACCTTGTCCATAGGAAAGGACTAAAACCAGGTAGCATTTTAACTGAAATGCGAAGAAAAATAGGTGGAGCAGCTGCTATCCGTCACTGGATGGAGTTACTTGCCCTTTAAAATATACTATTTCATAAACACGAATGGGGGAGAGGGGCTTGCGACAACAAAGTAGGGTTGATTGCAGATCACTGAACTTGTTGTTTGATCTGTTTGGAACTTTATTTAAGTTATTTATGTTCATTGTTTGACTGTCGGTTATATTTTTGTGGGATTTGCATTGGCCGAGGAAGTTCATCAGGATTTTTCGGCGTGGTTTTCCATTGTCAGTGGTGCAGGGTCTGAGAAGGACAGCTGTCTAGTCGTTCTGGTGGAACGAAAAACCGGGGTTCCGTGTATACATTGGCGTGTACTTTAAAGATCCCTTGACATTTGGAATTCGATATAAGAGTAGGCCATAGTACCGCTGCCCGGGAAAATTTTCCCTCATACCACACTGTATGGCGTATGCCCGTCTTCATTATCCCAATCGGAGCAAATATAGTAGGACGTTATCCCCATTTCATTTCATTTGGGTTTTTTTTTATATCTTTTGTTCCAGGTGAATTTTATTGTAACGATTATTATGTTTATCGCTAGATTGGCCCATGACAGCAGAAAACATGTTCCTCTTTTCAAACGGCTTCGGTAAGATGCTCTGTTTTAAAATTTAGATTGTACACGTTCTTCTTTGAAACACAAATGACTATATGGTGTCAGGTTTCAGGATATTTTTTTTAAATTTGTACATCTTTCAAATATAGATAGGATCTAATCAATATTACAAGCTACGTTTATTTTACTTTTGGATCAAGGTTCCCTACTCTAGATTCCGTTAACCAGTAGCAATACTCACTCACGTTTAAAAAATTTAAAAGTCTTCGTAGAGTCGATTGTCTACCTAGCGAAATTGAGTGAGTATTGCCACTAGTTGACGAAATCTAGAGTGGTGAACTTTGACTCCAATTATTTAATTCCAACCATTTCTCACCTTGGTATTATTATATCTACTAAAAGAGAATCGGTTTCAGACGAGTTATTTGCCCTTGAGTTAGAAATCGGAATCAGACCAGTTATTTGATAATCTCTCTTACGAACATGGACGTAACAGACTTTAAACATATACTTAGTCATAACTAAATGTTATTTTTTAAATATTTTCCACGTTACAATATGCGTGGTTAAACCCTATTTAATTTTTGGACGTAAGCTTAGAATCCCCAATGTATATATAATACACAGATATTTTATGTTTATTTTGTGTAGACACCAGTTGATGACGTTTATAACCCTGGTACCAGTATTAAGTTTAACCTGGGTATTTGGTTTATCACCTGCCAGTAACATGGTTTCACAGTATCTCTTTGTTATCATCAACTCATCGCAGGTAAATATTACATTAATTAGTAAATTTCTGATGAATTTCTGAGTAAATCTTGAATTTCTGAGTAAATCTTGAATTTCTGAGTAAATCTTGAATTTCTGAGTAATTCTTGAATTTCTGAGTAATTCTTGAATTTCTGAGTAATTTTAGAGTAATTCTTGAATTTCTTAGTAATTTTACAGTAATTCTTGAATTTCTGAATAATTCTTGAATTTTAGAGTAATTTTAGAGTAATTCTTGAATTTCTGAGTAATTCTTGAATTTCTGAATAATTCTTGAATTTCTGAGTAATTCTTGAATTTCGGAGTAATTCTTGAAATTCTAGGACATTTTGAGTAATTCTTGAATTTCTGAGTAATGCCGATCGACTGTTCATATTCTCGACTTCAAGTACCATTGTCACGATAATAAACGAAGTCTCAGGTTCAGTCCTTCACTTGGCCGTCACCGTAAGTGCCGCCATTTTAACGAAGATATGATGGTCTAGAGAGTTGATTATGGGCTTAAGTGAGAATAAATGTCTATATAGTAATTTATAAAACGTTTGCAGCCAGACAAAACACCTGCAAAGTATTTAGTTTTTATTATTTAATCTTTTGTTTAGGGACTGTGGATTCTTCTTGGTCACATGATGTTCAGTACACCAATCAAAGCCCTCCTACTTACAAAGGTCATGGGAGAACAGCCCAAACCAAAGAAGAAGGAAGCCGAAGACAGCGAATCCAGTGACGAGGTCAGCGAGGATTTGACTGCCACTTCAGATCTTGGTCCAAATTTAGAAAATGAAAAAAAGGTTCAATAAATATTACAGTTAGGTTGTTTTTACTCGAATTTACCATTAGTGTTAGTGTTCACAATTTACAACAGCGTGTTCGTGTTCACACTCTAACATAGTGTTTACGTGTTCACAATTTACCATCACATCACAGACACATTAACGATATACTAAACATTGTAGTTCACCGCACAATTTACCATTAATGTGTTCGTGTTCACACTTTACCATAGTATGTTCGTGTTCACAATTTACCATCACAATACAAACACATTAACACATTGTAGTTCCCTGTACAAGTTACCATTAATGTGTTCACAATTTACCATCAGTGTGTTCGTGTTCACAATTAACCGCCACAATACAAACACATTCACGGTATACTAAACATTGTAGTTCACCGCACAATTTACCATTAATGTATTCGTGTTCACAATTTACCATCAATGTGTTCGTGTTCACAATTTACCGCCACAATACAAACACATTCACGGTATACTAAACATTGTAGTTCACCGTGTGTTCGTGTTCACACTTTACCATAGTGTGTTCGTGTTCACAATTTACCATCAGTGTATTCGTGTTCACACTTTACGATCACACAAATAAGCCATCACGAGATAATAAACAGTATGAAATTGTTTTCGTGTTCACAATGAGATGATAAACAGTATGACATTGTTTTCGTGTTCACAATTTACCACCACATACATAAACCCGCACGAGATACTAAATAGTAAAATAGTGTGTTAGTATTCACAATTAGTCCACTCGTGCACGGAATACATTTTATTTTTATTTTACCGTTAATATGCCTTTCAAATGCCATAACTCAAGCTGAATATTTTTTTAACCAAAATATATCTTTTTTAAATATGTTTAACCTTGGATATCAATTTTTTTTTATCTGATTTTGGTGAAACTTAACATTTAGGTTTATGTCCAAAATATCTCGGAAAGGTTCGATTTTGGTGCGCATCGGACCGTATGATCTTAGGCTATGGCTCGATACCTTTTACGTATAATTGTGAAATATGTACGAAGGTTGTGACCCTTCTAGAGATCACAATTGTTGGTCCCATTCATATTAACGATAAAAATATCTTGGAGGGGTTCTGGCCCTTGACTTTTAATGTGATTTAAATAGAAGTCTATGGATCCTCTAGAGCTCACAATTGTTGGTCCGATTTAGATGAAACTTAAAATATATGTTAAGGACAATATGAAGTGACTTTATTGCAACAAAAATGATACGTCGTTGCCTGAAAGTCGACCATCTTGAAAATGGGCGCCATCTTGAATTTTCGAGTAGCTAATGGACTTTTTCAAAAGAATAGTCCTCGAGGATCAGTTGTGCCAATTTGGATAACATACCCACAATTGAACGATTTACCTGCCAGTTATCAACTGAAAAGGTATCGAGCGACATGAAAAAGACACATAACATAGAATTGTAGTCATTCAATGGAAATCTGGAAAGGAGTTGCCGTACGAATATTTAAAGAACTGTAGTTTTGTAAGGTCAGGATACAGTGTGGCCAGTTTATCACCAACGTAGGTAACGAGCGGGTCTGATGCCCTGAGAAATGTGTATATACTAATTCTAGTCCCTGCAGCATGGTGATTTCTCAGCAACATCAACCTTACAAAGCTTGTCCATTTAGGTCAACTAAAGCCTAGCTCACAGCCCGTCGTACGTGCCACTACGGCCAGTCTACGGCGGAAATTGCGTCACTTGCGTGTGTTCGGCACCGTAGAAGATCAAAGACTGGCCGTAGAGACTTATGGTCCTGTCAATATAAATTTTTCACCCGTTTTTTTGCGGCTGGTCTGGGAGCCACAAAAAACCCTACTACTTAACAAAAATGTGATCAAGCCCCGCTCCAGCGGTTTATGACAATATGGTATCTGATGTGTCATGGTTTATCCAAACAAAATAAAGATTTGACTTTAATTAATTTTGAGGATTATGTGTTTTTTAATTTTCTAATCAAAAATTGTATTGCTTGTTTCAGACGGCCGTTCTTCAGTACAACTGTCCTGCCGAGAACGTCGTACGTAAACCATCCACCAGACGGTCACATCAAGTTCCCGCCTTCCACGCAGAACTGAGCGATTCTTCTGGAGGACGAAACAAGGAACAAGATCTCGGCGACGGAACCACCACAGCATAATAGGCAACACGAGAGAATGTTTATTTACTCCCACTCGGCAAACCTCAGCAGATTCATAGCCTCGGCTGCATGACGAAGTACGCCATTGGAACTACTTTCAAGTTCCCAGATTACCAACGGCGTTGCCCATGACGACGCCTTTGAAGAATGTTCTATCATACGAATATTTCGAAGTCTGAAGCTGTTTTTCTTTCAAGTTTATCCGATTTTCTTCAAACAAGATCAACTTAACACTAAAACTTCTACACACGCTTCGAACGACGCAATTTTGATAACTTCTTTTTAAAAGCGGCAAGTTTACCTAATAAGTAAATCGGTGCCGCATCGCAATTGTATAGGCGTAGGTATATATCACTTACCGTCATACAGCCGAGGCTAGATGTAGAGTAACGGAATCTGTCGAGGCTTGCCTAGTGTATTTACCGCAACATCCAGTGTGTATTAAACTATAATATCTATAATTTTAAAATGATGAAACATCCTCTTCTTTCAACACGAAAGATTATATACACGTCACAATTCTATGGAATACAATTACTGCTTATCACTGAGCGACTTTTGGACCTATAGGCTACTCTAGTCATTATCTATGACGTGGGGTTTGAGTCAAAAGTCAGTGCTATGTTGTCAGTGTTTTTACAATTCCAATGTTGCAGATGTTGAATCTTACGTGTAAATTGAACCAAGTATGCCAGTATGCAAATTTGTTCACACGGCACCCTTTTTAATCACGTGAGATCTCGCGTGCAGAAAAAACATTTTCATGGAATTAATGACGTATATAGTACCTACATAGAAATATATAATTTACATACTGGCTGATTTCGTGTTCTATGTGAAGTGTTACTATACGCAAGACATATGTACAATACTTAGTGCGAGTCGTCAAATAAGAAAATGCCAGAGTTTAAAGTTCTGGGTAGATGGAGTTAGGCGTGTTGTGGGAATTTTGAAAAGTCTAATGTGAAATGTTAAATGACAAAAAGTAGATGTCAATTTACACGATGTAATAGAGCTAAATTCTTTATGCACAAAACAAAGAAAAACCTTTGTATTTGTTAGTTTTACAAGATTTTTTTTACATTTGACTGGTTTCAATTTACACTAACATTTAACATTTGCAACATTGGAGATGTAAAAGCACTAACAACATAGCACTGATTTTTGACTCAAATCCTCAGTCATAATTATCAAGCAATGATAAAATATGAAATATAACAATGTATACATGTAAACAACCAATAAACTTGTTTAAAATACAGATGTGACGTCACCCTTTGATGTTGGCGTACCATTATTTCAAATAATCGTACGGGCAACTTGCCAATCGTACCTTGTCAAATATTAGACTCGAGTGACGTATTTCACTGTAAACGCACGTGCGGAGTGTCTGTATTTTAAGATGTTTAATGGTCTCGAGCTGAGACATTGCGTAATATATTGTAAAAACACTCGGACCTGACGGTCCTCTTGTTGTTACAATATATTACTTAATGTCTCGCTCTCGACCATTAAACAATACTTAATGCTGATCAAGATTCTGTTATACGTCAAGGCTCGTTATGGTGGGTGGGGTGGCCGAATGGTTAACACGTGCGCGCTGTATCATAAGGTCAGTCATTGAGTCAACTGGGGTGGTTTCGATTCCCCGATTATACGTGACAAGGAGTAGGGTCGCCCGTCCAACCTCGTGGGTTTTCTCCCGGTCCTCCGGTTTCCTCCCACTGGTAAGCAGTTTGAATTCCCATCGTATCACAACCGTCATTTAAGGTTTGGGGGGTTGGGGAGGGGGTTGGATGTCCGAATGGTTAGCGCGTGTGCGGTCAATCATAAGGACGTTTATCTCCATTTCATTCTTGGTGCAGAAAAATAGGACGTAAAACCATGTTTCATTTATCAATTCCAACTCCATTTCATAACAAAATGTAATTGTCCGATGGCCAACAAATCTTTTCAGACTCTTGGCGGTCTGTAAAATCATCATGGCATTACATTATGAGGTCGATTTTAATTAACAGCCGCCAACTGGTTCACAGAGAGAGAGAGAGAGAGAAATGGGGTTTAACGTCCACTCGACACTCCTTGTCACGTACAACCGCCAACTGGTTCACAGAGAGAGAGAGAGAGAGAAATGGGGTTTAACGTCCACTCGACACAAACCTGGTCATGTCGTAACTAACATCATTGCACGTAGGGGTCTTTAGCAGTGGGAGAAAACCGGAGGACCCGGAGAAAACCGGAGGACCCGGAGAAAACCAAACATCATTGCGCGTAGGGGTCTTTAGCAGTGGGAGAAAACCGGAGGACCCGGAGAAAACCAAACAGGTAGGACAGGCGATCCTACTCCTTGTCACGTACAACCGAGGAATCGAAACCATGCCAGTTGACTCAAGAAGAGACCCTATAACACTGCGCACACGCGCTAACCATTCGGCCATCCAACCCCGACCCCTCCCCCCACCCCCACCCCCAACTGGTTGAGTTTGTACATAAGCTGAGGGTCATGGTGGCTAAGTGGGTAAGACGCTGGTTCGCTAGCCTGGAGGTCGGGTGTTCGATCCCTGCATTGGCCGAGAAAGTTTATCCAGATTTTCCGGCGTGGACCTGCTTGTCAGTGATGCAGGACGGAGGGCCTGACAAGGACAGCTGTCTAGTTGTTCGGAAGGTACAAAAAACCGAGGTTCCGTGTACACATTAGCGTGCACGTAAAAGATCCCTTGGCAGTTGGAATTCGATATAAGAGTAAACCATAGTGCCGGTACCCGGGTAAAATTTTCCTCATAGCACATTTAATGGCGTATGCCCGTCTTCATTAGCCCAATTCGGAGCAGAACAGTAGGACGTTAAACCCCATTTCATTTGTATATAAACTGAAAATGTATTTTAAACAAAGACACGTCAATAGATCGTAAATTAACTACCGGATCAGTTTGATTATTAATAAAAAACCCAAGGCGCGTCAATATATCTATAATTGTAACAATACAGTTTTATTATCAATAAATAAAATTAATTAAAATAAATAACCCTGAAGCAATACAACAGGATTTAATCTATAAAATTAATAAATGGCTCTATTGTTTATTTCCTGAATGTACGAAGCTTAAAAAAAAATACAATTATACATTTTTTGTAATACCATAGTGACCAATCATGTATACATAATATGTGCGCATGACAACTGCGTCGTGGGTTTCTCCGTAAAACAAGGGTTAGTGCTAAATGATAAGGCCAACTCAATTTTTCGTCAATGGTCACGAGATGTAAACAGTGCTAGCGCTAATCCCAACCCTAACCCTGGACCCAGCCCCAATGCTTACCCTAACCCTGACCTACAATTTCGCCAACAATCACGTACCCTAACCCTGACCTACAATTTCGCCAACAATCACGTACCCTAACCGTATTTAGCCTACAGCTCAGCGACATTGACAAAAATTGAGCTGGCCTTAACAAATAGATTTCTAAATTTCTATTCTAAATTTCTGTGTAAAGCCTGCGGGTCCCCGATCCCGTGGTGTCGTGGCGCACTGCTCTGAAACCTTTTTTTATTTTTTTTTTTTAAAAAAAGCTCCTTTTCATGAAAAGCATAAAAATCTCTGGTCTCTGTACTCATTCTTCCTCAATTTTTATAAAGATGTAAAAATGTAAACAATAAGTTGTCAAATAAGTAAATAATAATAATAATAATCGTTTTCTGTAGAGCTGGACTTTTTCTGTAGTCTGACTTCTCTGTGGCCACTTTACAATGTAGATATGATTATAAAAAACATACATGTATATACAATTAAACAAAAGAATACAAAGGAATAGTCAAGTTACAATATACAAATGGAAAGTGAAGCATTTAAATCATAGTTCAAACGTTTGGGTAAAAAAAACAGAGTTTTTATACGTCTTTAAATATAGCCAAGTTTGGACTATTTTGAACTTTCAGAGGCAATTTGTTCCATTCTTTTGGTGCTGCGTATGCAAAAGCTCTCTCACTAGAGTTTGACTTATGTACTGGACATACAAGTTTGTTTTTATGAGATGAACGTAAGGAACGGGAAGGTACATATTGTTTAATCAAATCGGATAAATAGGATAGTGCCAAACAATAATAAATGTAAATAAATGATTATGTTTCATAGTAAATAGTGGCTTTGTTATCCGAGGGGTCGCGATCAGATGCTTGTTTCTGGAATGTGGTCACAACCATCAAAAGGTTGGGAACCACTGGCGTAAAGCGATCTCGTGCACAAAATTTGTGGCCAGGAATACCCGTCATCCATTGCTACAGCAAATGAAAATGGAGCTAATTAATGACGTCAAATGTAAACATCGAGCTCAAACATCCCTTTAAGACGATTATCCAGTTCTTCACGAGGAAGGATTATGCAACGACATCCAGGGCCGAATTAAAGCCGGGATGGAATGAAATACATATTGCATTTGTGTGAGTGAAACGGACAATTACCAGGATATGCATCCTTTTCCCTGTTGATGCAAGGGCCGCGGTGAATATTTCAGCCCCATGCAAGCTTATTCCGGCACTGGCGATACTGTTACACGACGAAACATCAAATATTGAATAGGAAACGCCATGATGGACGTTTGGAATTTTAAAACAGAAGCATCGTGTGGGGGATAACGCTGGAACCAAGAAAGTTTTGGATTTCCAGATACATCAGACCGGTGTTACTTTAGCCGATCCCATTCCGCCGGTTAAAGTTCTGTGCCGGTCTGGTCTCCGCCTACTACAAAGACTCTTCAACCCCTCACGGAAATTACTACCACTAAAACAATACAGAATAAAATTACACACGTTATTGAGGTACTGAAACTGATTGACGATCGCGAAGACCAGAGATTGGATTGCTGCTAGATGAGTACCTGGTCGAGCCACCCAGTAGATGTTTCCGATCATGAACACACTGATGGGGGTGGTGCAGATGAAATAAACAATATTGATTAAGAACAGCGTGGTTATTAATGAAGATATACGCTTGGTTGAATTAGAGTTAAAGGTACACCCAGTGCTCTTAATGAGATCCTTTTTTCCCTTAAAAACCTTATGAAGGATTAACATGTTAAAGATAGAAAGGATGACAAATGGCACAAAGCAATACACAGCTACATCAATCCACGGCCAGATATCAGTAGTAAATAGATAATAATCATCGTCAATGCTGTCACAATGAAATACAAACGTTTCATTATCGTCGCTAACCAGCGTCAAATCCCCGAGACCAACAACAAAATGGGTGTTTAATGCGACCAATACGACCACGATGCTAGAGAGGATAATGAGAGTGATCCTACGTGTACATCTAGTTTTTATGGTGTGTGGAGACACAACGGATAAATATCTTTCTATTGTCATAGCAACTAGAATCCAGGCAGAAGTCTGTAAACTGAAGGTCACAAGTGGTCTGTGTATCTTACATATTACTGGATGAACGTGTCTTATGTCCAGATTAAACGTGAACCGAATCCACAAACGCATAAGTCCCGTATAGAGAACAAGAATGTCGCAAACCGCCATTGCTGTAAAATAGATATTCGTTGTAGATTTGCGCATTTTACCACACGACAACACCGCTATTACTAGAATATTTCCAATGGTACCTAGGATAATTAAAACAGGGGAACTGTATTTCCATATAAATACAGCAATTCTCTCTTCTATGAACTCTTCAGTGACGTAAGTGGTGATGTTATCCATGGTCTAGTGTCTACTCTGGTAGTGGGAACGATTATACAAGATGTCTCCACGGGTGATGGGAACGATTATACAAGATGTCTCTACGGTTTGATTAGAACGATTATACAAGATGTCTCCACGGGTGATGGGAACGATTATACAAGATGTTTCTACGGTTTGATTAGAACGATTATACAAGGTGTCTCCACGGGGTGATTGGAACAATTATACAAGATGTGTGTATGTGGTGATCAGAATGAATTTAAAGATGTCTCAACAAAATGTCTACGTGGTGATCGGAATAAATTTACACAAAATGTCTGTACGTGGTGATCCGAATGTTTCCATAAGATGTATGTACGTGGTGATCCGAATGTTTCCACAAGATGCCTGTACGTGGTGATCAGAATGTTTCCACAAGATGTATGTACGTGGTGATCAGAATGTTTCCACAAGATGTCCGTACGTGGTGATCAGAATGTTTCCACAAGACGTATGTACGTGGTGATCAGAATGTTTCCACAAGACGTATGTACGGATCTACGTCGTGTACGTAACAAAATCAGTGCAAACAAATACAAACCATCAATGCTTTTTTGTTAAAACCTCCTTGCAAAACAAATCACGATCACCTGTTACGGATGAAGTCCTTTATCAGACCTTTTTGAACACTTTTGAAAGTGGCAAGCTCGTCTATATTTTTTTTGTCTAAGATATCACCTCTGTGGAAGCGGACGTAAAATACAACTAACTCACACACACTTTTGAAATAACGTTTTCGTCCAAAGACAATTTCTCCACACTTCCAATCATAATAAAATATTCGTCTTAAATGTTAACGTTAATCCACACAAGAAGAAAAGCAGTGATTTAAACTGAACAACTGGGAATGAAATTCAAAGCTCTACTGAAACCGATAATGGCAATGGTTCCGTTCTCGATTGGTTCAAGATTAATCTACCCCAACCTCAACTTTAAACACTGTTTTCTAATTACATGATATGTTGATCCGGGTGATTTCTCGAAAACGAAATAAATCAAGGCAAAATCACTTCACTTTGTGTTTTATGGGCCCTCCAGCAGAATGTCATACCACGTTCACACGTTCTTTCAATACTCAACGTGCAAGTGACACGGCGTGAGTTTTAATTTCACGAGACTGGCATAGTGTAATATTGTGACTAAGCGTTATAATATTTTGTAGCCTCTATACTTCCGTGTATGATTTATGAAAAACATCAATGAATTCCGTTCTTGGAAAAACTACATACGCAACAAGAATCTGGAGTTACCCAAGAAAACTGGAGTAACCATAGCATCCGTGTACTGTAAACCACAAGGTGTTGTCTATTATCAGGAAGGATGGGGAGTTCAGGCCAGCTGGGCAGGAGATCGGGCCAGTTGGACAGGAGATCAGACCGGACAGACATGAGTTCAAGCTAGGAGATCAGACCGGATAGGCAGGAGTTCAGGCTGGTGGGGAGGTCAGGTCAGGTCAGGATGAGTAGGGAGGAGATCAGGCCGAAAAGGCATGAGACCAGGACGAGTGGGGAGGTCAGCAAATTCATACTGGAATTCTAGTTCGAGTTACCAGTCCATAACCCTTGTGGAAGTGGACATATCCGACTTGCTCAACCGGCGCCTGGAAATTGACTCTCTCAAGCTGATTTCTTGTCCGTTACAATATAATCAAATTATAAGTTGACCTTATCGTAATGGTTGACGCCCAGGGGAGTGTCAGAAGAAGATCACGTTTTATCAATTTTATTGTCGAACCATTAAAGTTTACCAATGTGTAAAAAAACGCCAACTGTACCAAAACTGGATCATTTGTCTTTACTAAGCTGCATCTACGACGTTTCTACGACTTATTTTCTGTACTAAAAATCAGACCGTCCACGTGGACGTCTGATAGCTTGGGGAGACCCGAAAATGTAGCAGTTAGTTTTAGACGATATTAAAGATCGAGATGCTTACTATTCGAACGTACGAGCAGTCATTCCGCACCACAGCATATCTCCCTAATTTCTATAAGTCTATAAATTTCCCAAATTCGGCCACCTCCAACATGCAGGAGGGACCATACTACATTAAATTAATCCTTTATACTCAAATAATAAAAATTGAACAGATATTTATAATTCTATTTTGGGGACAATTATAAAAAGATTCCCCATGATCTCAGAATTACAAATCGCTGACCCGAGATATTCTCTAACATTTCAGATAGTACGAAGACCAAAAAATCAACAATAACGGGCATGCAAGGGGGGGGGGGGGAGGGGGAGGGAGGGGAGAGAGAGAGAGAGAGAGGGGGGGGGGAATTACTATAACAATTTGTTGGTACCGAGATGGTGAAATTTAATGGTGGTCTGCCTCATTCTGTTTACTACCAAGTGCCGTTTCGACTACAGTTATGTAGTTCCTATCAAAAAATGATACAATTATAAAAATAATGGTACACTATATTGATTTGAAGTTTATTGGATGTTCATACAGTAATTTCAATATAGCTGTATAACTATTACACAATGGGAGAGAGAGGGAGAGAAATGGGGTTTAACGTCCACTCGACACAAACTAGGTCATTTCAGGACTAACATATGGTTCAATTTTATTTCAATAATTCGCTTGCGCGTAGGGCTCTTTAGTAGTTGGAGGAAACCGGAGGACCCGGAGAAAACCCACGAGGCTGGACAGGCGACCCTACTCCTTGTCACGTACAACCACGGATTCGACACAATGACAGGCCTTATGATACAGCACGCACGTGCTAACCATTCGGCCATCCAACCCTCCATTACACAATGGTTTCTCTGGGTTATATTCCTGATTGTTTTCAAATTGAGTAAAGTCTGTGTCACTATAGGCCCAGGATTGTACAGCGCAGTGGACGCTTCGTATCCATTCACTTTATTTGAATTGTTCGTTTGTTTGTGATTTCTGCGTATTGTGTCTTGTCCATATATTTGTTTTTGTGTAAATTATGTGTGATGCAGTCCCCCTGCACTAAATATTAGTAGAAACAGCATATTGTTTACATATTTATTTAAAGTAGCTAAGTCTCTAACTCAATATCATCCAAAGTCTTACACGTTGAAAATACGAATTATTTGTCAATTCAAATCAACATTGATGTTGTGATCTTGCCGGGAAAAGGTAGGCTTCTGATATCCAATATTTAAGACAAAATAAACATTTTACCATTGGTACAGGAATCGTGTACCATAGTGCGTTTCAGCGTCATTTGTAACCAGAAAGAACGAGGCTAGACATATTCCAATACTCATGTCAAACCATATCTTATCTGGAGTGAATGCACAATAGACTTGAATAACTAGACGCTAGAAATTGCTATTCGGTTGAGACTCATGCCGTTTTCGCTGGACGTAACTGATTTTAAATTAGAGTCAAAACGGAAACGATTGAATGTAAATCATTTTTATAAATACATATTACATTATTATATGCGTTGTAACCCATGTGTGTCAATTTCAAGATCCCAAATATGAGCGATATAGCTCCTTTAAACTATAATTTAAAAAGTTTATTACGAACTGGAAAATATTCAAACAGTAATTTTATTGAAACAGCACATGGTTAACATAAGCTACATTTTAAGTTGATTAAGAACTAGCCCCAAGTTCACAAAGCATTCTCAGACTTAAGTTAAGAATTTACACAACTTTCAATCACTGTGAGAAATATCTTAGATCCAGAAACACAAAACTTTGCACATAGTTTTTTATTGATGTATTGATACATTAAAACAAGAAAAAGTTTTATAATGGGCTATAATTGAGTTGAAATAAGGCAAACAATTTTGAGTAAATTTTTAACTTAAGTTTGAGAATGATTTATGAACTGGGGGCCAGGTAACTGTTGAAACAGTATGTTTAAATATAGCTGTACAAACAGCAAATAATTTACATATTATTTTACATTTATAGAACATATTTATCACAGATATAATTAAGTCAACAGTATTATGGGCTCAGCAGTAGGAGGGGGAGTAACTAGTAACAAAGGGAAGTTCTCAGCAGTAGGAGGGGGGGGGGGGTAACTAGTAAAAAGGGAATTCTGCAATAAAAAGGGAAGTTCAGCAGTAAAAGGTTGAATTCTGTAGTAAAGGTGGGTGGGTGGGGGCAGCTGTAAAAGGCTGAATTCTGTAGTAAAGGAGATGAGGGGAGGGGAGCAGTAAGAGGCTGAATTTTGCAGTAAAGGAGGTGGATGGGGGGTGGGGTGGAGAGACAGCAGTAAGAGACTAAATTCTGCAGTAAAAGGTGGGGGGGGGGGGCAGTGGGAGATTGAATATACAAGTATACATATAAATACTGTAGTAGTAACAGTACATATTATAACACACAAACTCATCTACCCTAATATTATATAGAGAGCAGACAGAATAACTACCCTAATATCATACACAGAACATATATTACTGCTGCCTAGGGTTATCTACTGTTTATAACTAATATTATATAGAGACCAGACAGAATAACTACCCTGATATCATACACAGAGGACATATATTACTGCTGCCTTGAACCAATAATACAGGGTTATCTACTGTCTATAACTAATGTTTAAATACTGCAATCAGGTAATATCTTTATATAATGCTGTTAGACAGTGGTGAAATAAATACAAATATTTAAAACAAACAAATCTCCATGTTGTATTATCTCAGTTCACAAGTTCTACTAGTTTATAAAGGTTCATCTTCATTAGCCCAGGGGTGGGCCGAATGGTTAGCATGTGCGCATTGTATCATAAGGTCTGTCATTGAGTCAGATGACGTGGTTTCGATTTCCCGGTTGCACATGGGTTTTCTCTGGGTTTTCTCCTTTTCCTCCCACTGCTAAAGACACATATGCGCAAGCGAATTATTGAAAGAAAATTGAACCATCTGTTAGTCCCGAAAGTGACCTAGTTCGTGTTGAGTGGACATTAAACCTCTCTCTCTCTCTCTCTCTCTCTCTCTCTCTCTCATTCATTCATATTAGCCCAGTCAGTGCAGAACAATTTAATTTTACACTGGTTTAAATGCTGATATGGAAAATCACAGTTTACGACAGAAGAACAAGTACAAGCTACTATGGACCAGTAAGCCCAGTCTGACATCATCGCAGCCATCATGTTACAACAATGTCATATACAAAAACGAAGTCCATCATTTGATGCTCAAAGGTTCAAGGAACAAGCATGCCACGTTTCAATTCACTGGGCCCTAGGCTTTTTTCGAACGTCACTGCCCTTAAGAAGAACCTTCTTCATTAGTCCAGTTCAGAGCAAAACAGTAGGATGTTAAACCCCATTTCATTTTATTCCCCTAAGAAGAATAAGAAGATAAGTAACACTTTGAGCCACGTTACCGGTTCAGTTCAAAACCCCCGTTTTAAGAAACAATAACAAAAAAATAAATTAAAGGGGTATTTCGGGAGATTAGATAAAGAGCTGGTAGTTCTCACTATAATAGTGAAAAACTAGGTAATGTAAAAGGATGCTGAAAATTGCTCCACTCTGAACCGAAACATTAGTGATTGAATTTTAGGCCTTGATCATCATTACTAAAGTTGGTACAATAAAAAAACATAGTCTTGATTATCCATTTTTGCATTTAATCATCAATGAGCATTGAGCAGCAGATCGGATTTAAATCCGGTGAAAATTATGTAGACATAAGGTGCCATCGAGAGTTGATTAAGGTCTTTTCATGTTGATGAATGTCTAATTAATAAAGATACCATTTCAGGCCTAAAGAAAGACCTGTAATAGGCAGCTTTAGTTCTTTCATAATGTATGTTTAATGCTGTCAAAAACCCTATTACCTTGGCCATCCTGAGCACTAGAATACCACAATTGTTAATCATTCGAGTTACTAGTCCTTAATTCTTGTTAAAACATCCTACTTTTTTTTTCTCCATCTTAGAATTGGGTTTATTTTCTGTCCATTTGGTTTACCTTCCTCGCTAGTGAACGATGTTTGGGTTAAAATTTCAGAAAATTTGGAACTTAAAGTGGGAGACTATTTTATTTGTCTGGGAGACTATTTTATTCTATTTTATGTCTGGGAAAATTTTTTTTTTTGTGTTGAGGACGGTTTTATTTGTATCGGGGATTACTTTGTTTGAGTCATTTGTTTAATTAAATCACTTCTTTCATCAATCTTCTCTACCAGTAGTTTGACCAATGGTTCCACAAATTCCTGGAAATAGAAAGATATCAGACTTTGGTATTTTTACAATTCAATAATTAACAAATACAAACTGTAACCTGTAATATGAACCAGGAACATGCCATCATGGAATTGTGACATTGCATCAAAAATCGAAGTCCGTCAATCTTTGCACAATTGTTCAAAGGACAAGCAATCCAATTTTCATGTTGATTGTACTTGATTTAAAATGGGGCTGAACGTCTTTCTGTTCTGCGATTGTCTTCAAATTGGCAAAACCTTAGGCTTTGTTTGAAAACAAAGAGCTGATGCTTGTTAATTTCTTGGGTAAACTGATATCTGACAACAGTGGGTGGGTGGGTGGGGGGTAAGATGAAAACACCCTGAGAATGACTGAATCCCAAAAGAAACCAATCAATCTAAATAAATGAAATGAAATTGGGTTGCAATCTAAATATCCTACAAATCAAATATATCAACATCAATCTCAGTTCTGTCAAGTATCTGACGAGTGTTGATAGATATTAACGGATTAAAGGGAAATTTCACACGGACAGCTGCATTATCATTTACTCTCCACGAAATTCAAAGTTTCAAGGACTCTTTTACATGCACGCCAACATCCTATATTAGCTACTAGACACCGTCCCTTGCCTCGCCCTCTGTTCTAGCTGTACCTTGCACGCCCTCAGGGCTGTCAGTAATTTTTCACTGTTGATTAGCAGCACTGCTAATCAAAAAGTCCAATTTTGCCAAATTTGATTAGCAAATTTAAAAATTGATTAGCAGTTTTTCAGTTTCAACGTAAAACACCTAAATAACAAGATATTACTTTAATTCATAACAAATATGATTAGATTCCATTCTGACTATTCTTTAAATTCTTAAGATTTTTTAGCACTGCCACAAGTACTTGTGACAGTTTGTGAATGTGATGTAGACATTTAGTTAGGTTTATGTCTGAAGCCAATTCTTGACAGTGACTTCCGAAGCCCCACTCATTTTAATTGTTATTTTTTGTCACGTTAGGTTAGAAATCTTCGTTAGAAAACAATTTGGCTGCTTTTTATCGTGTATTAGTAGTAATAGTATTACTATTTTTTCGTTCAATCGGGCGCACCTCGATTAACTAGACACACACGATAGAAACAATAATATTTTACGGGAATTTTTACTTTGATTTATCATTTTACAATACGTTAACATGTATTTATTTTTTTATATGTTATTTACAATGCGTGGGGGATACACTGGATTTATTTCTTTCAAAATGAATATGATATAATTACTTGATGTCTCGCAATGTGAGTGGTACTACTCGATTCCCTATTATTTCCGGTATAATAGTCCCTATTCATAGAGTTATGTCCCTGTGTTATATAGTATTGTGTCTGGGTAGTTCGAGAAGAAAATGTCACGCGGAGAATTTAGTTTTGTTTAAAAAATTTTATTCAACATTTTATACACGTTGAAAGTGTTTAGTAAGCCTTCTAGTCTTCAAAGTGTGGATTATTCTTGTGTCAATATCCAAAATGACAGGCATATTAATGATTCGCAGTAACTGCAAATCAAAAACGTTAGATTTTAATTTTTGGTTAGCAACGGACAAAATATGTATCGCAAATTGCGCTGCGATACTGGTTGTCGGCAGCCCTGCACGCACTCTGTTCTATACCACTGACAAGTGAAAATCAAACGATTACACAACTTGGCCCAATATTTAAATGGCAATTTAAATTGAATTTATAGAGAGAGAGAGAAATGGGGTTTAACGTCCACTCGACACAAACTAGGTCATTTCGGGACTAACATATGGTTTAATTTTATTTACATAATTCTCTTGCGCGCTGGGGTCTTTAGCAGTGGGAGGAAACCGGAGGCCCCGGAGAAAACCCACGAGGTTGGACAGGCAACCCTACTCCTTGCCACGTACAACCGGGGATTCGAAACCACGCCAGTCGACTCAATGACAGACTTTATGATACAGCACGCGCACGCTAACCATTCAGCCATCCAACCCCCCTTGAATTTATAAATAAAATTATCTAAATTCAATGTTTTATATAATAACCAATTACCTGAGAATGAAGGATTTTTTCACATTTTTTAATCCATCTTTTATCATTTCTCTTCTGTGCTAAAGCAGCTTCCTACAAAACAAACAAACAAAACGGAAAGCGATCTAAAAGAAGGGTCAAAATAAAGTATTGAATTGACAACTGAGTTGAACTGATGGGTTATATCAATCAATGATCGGACAAAAAAATAATATTATGTTCATATATAGATCGCCAAATACACAAAGTGCTCATATTGCATACAAAAACCATATACATTGGCTCTAAGTTTTTTGTCAATAATTGTAACGATGAGTTTTTAATGGAGGTTTGAAGTAGTAACACCTAACAGTTCAATTGGGAGTGAATTCTGTCTTTCAGTACAATAAAACTACCGTAGTCATTTTAAACATACATTATGCAAGAGGTAAATCTGCCTATTGTAGATCTTTCTTTAGGCCTTAAATGTTATATAAACTATTAATTAGACATTAGTTAACATAATTAACTCTCGATGGCATCGGCTACTCAAGATATTAACTAGATTAGAACACTTCAGCAATTTAATGATTTAATTTAAAAATGGAGAAGCGAGGCTAAGTCTCGAATATACCAGTGCCCTGGTTACCACAATGCACACATCTTTTTAAAACTACAAACAGTGATAACTAGGCTCAGAATAAAGTAATTTGAATGAAATTTTCAATATATTCATTTTGCATTATCTATTTTTAAACTATCATAGCAAGAACTGTCAGCTCTTACATAATACATTTTTAACCCTTATGCTCAAGTAATCAACAATCAGGGATATGGACCTTTCCTCCCCCAAGGTCTACCACTTATGCAATAATTCAATGAAATCAAGAGTTTATGAATTCTACAATAAAAAAAATATTTACCTTTGATTTTGGCGTAGAATTATCGTCAATCATTAACTCTTCAATATCAGACTGACTGAGGTTAAAAAGGTCTTGAGCTATTGCCTTGGCTTGTTCTAGTGTAGGGTCTTTAGGCGCCTTGGCTCGTTGACTGGCCGTCAATTTATCATTTATTTCCCGACGTCCTTCTTCAACTCGAGACAATATTTCACAGCTTAACATCTGAAAAATAATTTTAATTCATTTTTACAAGAAAGCAATAATCTGATTAAACTACAGATCTATATTTCGGTTTTTTTTTTTTCATACTTTGATGGTCTCTACTACTTGAAGATCTGACCGGCTGTAGTGGAAGGGTGCGTCAGAGGTCATATGAGCGGCTTTTGACCCTATGATGTCAGACATTTGATTAACCAATCAGCATTGATGTTTTTAGTTGGTTACCCACAGTTCTGTGCACCTCAAGCCATAACAGACCTTTTCATTGACTGTTCACTCACATCATCTAGAATGCGGGTTATATAACAACTCTTCCAGATCCTAGTGTAGTAAAGACAAGTAAAATGAAATTTTAAACTATAAAAATCGAGAGAGAGATAGAGAGAGTGTCCACAAAGTAGATCATTTCGGGACTAACACATGGTTTAATTTTATATCAATAATCCAACTGTGCGTAGGGGTTATCAGCTGTGTGAGGAAACCGGGGGACCCGTAGAAAATCCATAAAGTTGGACAGGCGACTCTACTCCTTGTTGCGTACAAACACGCCAGTTGACTCAATGACAGACCTTATGATTCAGCGCACACGTGCTAATCACTTGACCATCCAACTCCTCGAACATGAACAAGAAAAAGAGTGTTCACAATGATATCATTTATAATAATACCTTTACAAATTGTTCATATTTGAGGACTTTTTCATGTGTTTCAATTAGTTTAACCTGGACGGAATCTATCGCAGCCTCACTTTGACTAGCCAATCCATGAAGCTGTTCTTTGGCTGTATCTTCTAGATCGACCATGGCTGATTCAAGATTTGTATATTTCTTTGATGTTTCATTTAACTGTTTATTCTGTAAAATATACAATACATACTGTAGTCGAAAATTGAAATGAAATGAAATGGGGTTTAATGGCCTACTGTTCTGCTCCGAATGGGCTAATGAAGACGGACATACGCCATACAGTGTGCTATGAGGGAAATTTTCCCAGGGCAGCAGCACTATGGTCTACTCTTATAACTGCTGGCAAGGGGAAACCACAGCAGAAAACCCTGACGAATCTTTCTCGGCCAATGCAGAGATCGAACACGCGATCTCAAGGCTAGCGAGCCAGGGTCTTACCCACTTAGCCACCGTAAGCCAGCGTCTTACCTACTTAGCCACCGTGGCTACTTTGTGATTGGATTATATAATGTATGATTATAACATTATCTGATTTTTTTTAAAAACAACAGATGGATAGTCTCTAGCTATCACCTAGTGACATTTAGACATGGATAAATGAAGTGGACAGTATCGTCAATGTTAAAACTTTAGTATCTATTCCTAGAGCATCGTTATCGCATCTGGTTGAAAATTACAACTTACCATTTTCTCAACATCTGAAATGAGTTTAATATTTGTTTCATCAGCTTCTTTTTTATCTTTCGACACGGCAGATATTCGCTTCTTTAATGATTCCAGCTAAAATTATAAAATATTATCATTGACAAAATGTAAAACTACCACAAATCCATGGTGACTTCCAAAACAATATTTCACAAAAGAGATTATATAATGTCCAACTGTTCTTACTTATCGAGCTAATAAAGACATATATATGCCATACAGTGTGCCTGTGAGAGAAATTTTGCTTGGAGAGCAATGTTTACGTATCCTCTTCATCAAGGGTTTATCAGTAAACCAAAGTGTGCACAGGACCTCAGTTTTCAGTCCCATCTTAACAATAGACGCTGCTCCTTGTCATGTACTACTGACACATGGAAACCAGGGGAGGTAACTCCAGAGGATTGTGTTATCTTGACTCCCATTTCACAAAAGACATGAATCATTTATTTTTAAAAAAATAAGTATTCATACATATACTTCAATTAAATTAATATTACTACATATGTCGGTACTTAATCTAATTAATATATTTACCTGTATTTTAATATAATTAATATTTTTACCTGTATTTTAATCTAATTATTTTATCACAATTAATATCTTTACAGTTATTTTAATTAAATTAATATTTTTTTTCTGTATTCTAATATAATTAATATATTTGCTTGTATCTAAATGAAATTAATATTTTACCTGTATTTTAATTTAATTACTTATACCTGTATTTTAATTAAATTAATATATTTACCTGTATTTTAGTTCTATCACTACTTTCATTTAATAATTTTATCTTCGTCTCCAACTCAACCTAAAATAAATTATACATTCATTCAAATAAATTTAAAGGAAAGGGGTCTTTAGCAGTGGGAGGAAACCGGAGGACCCGGAGAAAACCCACAAGGATTGGACAGGCGACCCTACTCCTTGTCACGTACAACCAGGGATTCGAAATCACGCCAGTCGACTCAATGACAGGCCTTATAATACAGTGCACACATGCTAACCAGGAAAGGATGTCTAACGTCCACTCGACACAAACTAGGTCATTTCGGGACTAACATGGTTCAATTTTATTTCAATATTTCGCTTACGCGTATAGGGCTTTAGCAGTGGGAGGAAAATAGAGGACCTGGAGAAAATCCGCGAGGTTGGACAGGTGACCCAACTCCTTGTCACGAACAACCAGGGAATCGAAATCATGCCAGTTGACTAAATGACAGATCTTATGATAGAGTGCTTACGTGCTAACCATTCAGCCATCCCCCCCCCCCCCCCCACACAGTCTTCAAAACCATATGGTTAACGAGAAAGTATAATGAAATGAAATGGGTTTTAATATACTATTATTTCTGCACAGACACCATACACTATGTTATGAGGTAAATTCTGCCCAGGCAGCAGTGAACCAGCCTACTTTCATAACGAATTCTACCTCTAAAAGGTTCTTTTACGTGCACATCAATGTGTACAATGGGGTCTCATTTTTTTTTACCCATCCAAGTGACTAGACTGTCCTTGCCAGGCCCTCCGCTCTGAACTACTGACAAGGGGAAATTGCACAGGCAAAACTTAATTGAATCACAAAATAAAATGAAATGAAATAGGGTTTAACGTCCTACTGTTCAGCTCTGAACTGGGCTAATGAAGGCGGGCATACGCCATACAGTGTGCTATCAGGGAAATTTTGCCCGGACAGCAGCACTACAGCCTACTTTTATACTGAATTCCAACTGTCAAAGAATCTTTTAAGTGCACGGGACCTCGGTTTTTCGTCCCATCCAAACGACTAGTCAGCTGTCCTTGTCAGACCCTCCGTCCTGCATCACTGACAAGGAGGATCCACGGCAGAAAACCGGGATGAACTTTCTCGTCCAATGACGGGATCGAACACCCGACCTCCAGGCTAGCGAGCCAGCGTCTTACATGTGATCCCCCCCTCCCCCACAAATAATAAAAAGAAACGAGCATAGTACTGAGACTGTGAATTACAATACTTACTATTGTCTCTGAGTCTGTTTTAGCTTTATCTTGTAAATTTTTCAGTTTAGTTCTTTGACTCTCGAGTAAATTTCGTTTCTGGTTGTTATCTCTTTCTACATGGTTTATTCTGAAAATATCAATAAAAAAAATAAAAATGACAACCCCAAAATATCAATAAAAAAATAAAAATAACAACCCCAAAATATCAATAAAAAAATAAAAAATAACAACCCCAAAATATCAATAAATATGAACAAAAACAACAAAAATATCAATAAATATCAACCCAAAAATATCAACCCAAATATTAAAAACAATATCAACTCAAAAATATCAATAAATATCAACCCAAAAATATCAACCCAAATATTAATCAATATCAACTCAAAAATATCAATAAATATCAACCCAAAAATATCAATTTTAATGAGTGAAATGAAATAGGGTTTAACATCCTATTTTTCAGTCGTTAATTTTATCAAAGTATTTTTATTGTATTTCATTATCAATTATTGCGGAAAATCGTAATTGACAGAATAATGGTTTCATGTACTTACTTATCATTAAAGTATACATTATACTTACTTTTCTGTTAACTTTTTAACTTGTTCCTGTAACTGCTCATTTTCTAATTTTAACGATTTAATACTTCCTGCTTGACGAGCAATTTCTGCTGATGATGCCTACAATAGAAAATGGATTTTAACGTCCAAGAACTAGATCAAATGATATATTTTTTTTTCATTAATTTGCTTGCGCGTCTTAAGCAATGGGAGGAAGGTAACCACAGGAAAACCAACACGGTTTGATAGGTGACCCTACACCTTGTCAAGATACTTACCCGAAGTTTAACTTCTAGTGACTTGACTCCATTTTCTGTCTGTTTATCATTTGGTGATCCAGTTACACTAGTTGTACAACTTTCTTCTCGAGCTGACAACTGTCCTTCTAAACCTATCTTATCTTTCTGTAACTTATCTAAATGATTCGTCACTTTCTGGCAATTAAAATAAGTCAAATATTAAACATACATTATGCAAGAGCTAAATCTGCCTATTGCAGGTCTTTCATTAGGCCTGAAATGTTATCTAAATTATTAATTAGACATTAATTAACTTATCCAGACCATAATCGACTCTCGATGGCATCGCTAGCCTGTGATCTTTAGTGGATTATGAGCCGATTTACTGCATAACTTTCCTTCACGATTTAATGATTAAATGGATAATTGAGACTATGCTGTTTATCATACTGACTTTAGTAATGATGATCGAGGCTAGGTGGAAATTTCAATCGCTTAGTTCTCGGTTCATAGTCGATCAATTTAAATGAAATTTTCAGCAAATTGCCTTTACATTATCTAGTTTTTAACTATTATAGTGAGAACTGCCAACTCGTTATCGAAAATCCCATAATGTATCTTTAACCAAATTATTATTACCAAAGAAAACAATTTGAACCTAAGAAACGGCCAGTTCCATGTCCTCAAAAGTTGTTCTTGATGAAATGGGATTCAAAGCTTCAGTACCACAAGACAGTTTAGTTGTGTGTCGTGGATAGATATTGAAGAAATAGCTCACCAACCTGCCCATCCGTACAAACGAAGTAAGAAATAGCTCACCCACCTGCCTATCCACGCAGACGGAGTGAGAAATAGCCCACCCACCTGTCCATCTGTGCAGAAGAAGTAAAAAAATGTTGACATATTTCTGTTCATGACTCAATATCAAATCACTGAAATTTATTTATCAAGTTCTATCCGAGTTGTTGTTCAACCAATAAATTGCAACCCTTCCATCCAAACTAATAACCCAGTTGTTCAACCAACAACTGGGTTATTAGTTTGGATGGAAGGGTTGCAATTTATTTATCCAAGAAGTCATTCAACCCATTGGTTATTCCTTTGGATGAAGGGGTTGAAATTTATTTATCCGAAGAGTCGTTCAACCCATGTTTTATTTGTTGCAATGGAAGTGTTGAAATGTTTGCGATGGTCTCCAATTACCTGTATGTTCATTTTGGTCATCTTTAACCTTTGATTGGCCAGGTTTAAATCTGTCTGTAATTGTAATATCATTTCTTTCTGTTCACCAACCGTCTTCAACGCATTACCACGGGATTCACGTAATGTATTTACCTAGAAAACGAGAGAGAGAGAGAGAGATGGGGTTTAACCTCTACTCAACACAAACTAGGTCATTTTGGGACTAACATATGGTCCAATTTTATTTCAATAATTCCCTTGCACACAGGGGCTCTTAGCAACTTAGCAGGGGGGGGGGGGAACTGGAGGACCTGGAGAAAACCCACGAGGTTGTTGGACAGATGACCCTACTCCTTGTCATGTACAACCAGGGAATCGAAACCACGCCAGTTGACTCAATGACAGACCTTATGATACAGCACGCACATGCTAACCATTCGGCCATCCAATCCCCCAACAACCCATGAAGTAATTATCAGAATCATTAAATTCTTAAAACAAAATATCCACAAGGATTATCAAAGTGTTTAGGGTTAATAAACAATAAGCTTCTTTGTCTCATGAAGGTAAACTTTTTCCACTTGTAGATGCCTAGATAAATTTAAAAATCTTCATTTACTATGTGACTATGTGTTTCTATTTCATATGAGAGAGAGAGAGAGTGAGAGCGAGAGAGAGAGAGAGAGAGAGGGGAGGGTTTAACATCCTTGTTAGTTACAAACGAGGAATAAAAACCACACCACTTGACTCAATGACAGTCCTTCTGATCAAACGCGCATGTCCTAACTATTCAGCCATCTACACATAAACACACATCCCGAGATGTTATGGTATAATAGATTAACTAAGTCATTTTGGGACTAACATATGGTTTCAATTTTATTTCAATAATTTTCTCGTGCAGGAGGAAACTGCAGGAACCGGAAAAAACCCAACAAGGTTTGACAGGCTCCCTACCTTATAATCTACAACTCATGCCTCAGACCATCCAGCCACCCAACCTTCAAAAGATCAGCAAGCATTAATCTTTCCAGAAAATTAAAAATATTTTATGTTATAATAAACATTTACCTGTTGTTGAAGATAATTAACTCGTTGTTTTAAAGGACCAAGTTGTCGTGAAGCTGGTACATTATAATGGTAATTAATACGTTTTGGTCTCGATGATGGTAACCTTCCACCTGACACAGTTATAGGTGACGTGGCCATCTCCCTCATTACAACTACTAGAATAAAATTATTTCAATTTTAATTTTGAAGATCCGACGATTTTAATTTTAATCATGAAGATCTGATGGTTTCATTAAGTCCACAACAGCTCAGTCATTCAAGAACCTATAAAGACTGTCACATTTTCAGTCTTTCGTGGCTAATGATATCTGAACCGTGTTTATCGAACCACGGTATGGAACAAAGTACCATGAACCAAACCGTGGCAGGCTTAAGCGTCATTGCAATCTGATTAAAATACAGATCTATATCACCTTTCGTTTTTTTATATTTTCTATGGCCTACACTACAGATTGTATTTCATTTCATTTTATTATACTTTCAATGGCCTCTACTACATGAAGATCTGACTGGTTATAATGGAAGGTCGCGTCAGAGATCACACAAGTGGCTTTTTACCCTATGATGTCAGATATTTGATTAACCAATCAGCGTTGATGTTTCTAGTGGGTTACCCACAGTTGCGTGCACCTCATGCCAAAAACTCGCCCCAACAGTAAAGACACGTAAAACGAAATTTTAAAGTATAAAAGGCGAAATGAAATAGGATCTGTGTTTTCTTCAGACTGGCGTCGTTGCTAAATCTAAATTATCCCCATTCCGTTTGTTTTTATCTACAAAACTTCTACACCTACCTCTGTTCATATTTTCATTACTACTTGATTCTGTGACGGATTCTAGGCTTTCAGAACTTCTTGTGTCTCTTGACAACGGAGAACTTCCCGCTATTCTTCTGTCTGTTCGACTTTTCATAGACCGTAGAGGACTGGAATTCTATGAACAAACAACAATAATATTAAGATGCTATTTCAGATTTCACAGGGCATATACTTTTTAAATCGTCAAAATTACTTAAAAGGGTATTATGGAAGATTAGATAAAGATCTGACAGTTCGCACTATAAAAGTTAAAAACTAGATAATGTAAAGGGAATATACTGAAAATTTCAGTCAAATTGCTGCACTCTGAACCAAGATATTAGCGATTGAATTAAAGGCCTAGCCTTGATCATCATTACTAAAGTCGGTACGATAAAAAAACAAAGTATCAATTATCCATTTTTGCTTTTAATCATCAATGAGCGTTGAACAGCAGATCCGATTCAAATCCAGTGAAAATCGGACTCATAAGATGGCATCAAGAGTTGATTCTGGTCTTTTCATGTTAATAAATGTCTAAATAATAGTTTATATAACATTTCAGTCCTACAGAAAGACCGGCAATAGGCAGATTTAGCCCTTGCATAATGTATGTTTAATCTAGGAAATACAAATTGAGTTTTCCCGAATTAAGTGTCAAAAGAGTAAAGAATAATTTCAGGTAACCACGAACTGAATATGTTGGTATCTCGACCAATCAACTTAGCTGAAATGTATGATTATATTACGCTTCTGCTCACACCCACATCTGTTTTTGAGAGAAACAAACCTGACCATTTCAGGACTAAAATATGGTTAAATTTTATTTCAATAAATTCGCTTGCGTGTAGGAGGAAACCGAAGGACCTACAGAAAACTCACAAGGTTGGACAGGTGACCCTACACCTTGTCATGTACAACCGAGGAATCAAAACCATGCCAGTTGACTCAATGACAGACCTTATGATACAGCGCGCACGTGCTAACATTCGACCATCAAATCTCCGGATCTAGAAGTCCTAAAGGATAATTATCCCTGGTTCAGCAATTTGAAAGTCACATGCCAAGAAGACATTACATAAAACGAGCATGCTCTAGCATATCTTGACCAAAAAATATATCACCTAAATCAGGTTTTTGTAAATACATATATGAACTGACTAATTGAATAAACTTCACCTGTCTTTTATATCCAGTACTGGAATCTGTTTGATTTGACGATTGGCCATCAGATAGTCTTTTACTTCCAACCTGTTCACGTGAAGCACTAACGATGGCTCTTCCTAACATATCACTACCTGTTAAATCTGTTTCTTCTTCACTAAAATAATAAACCAGAGTAGCCAGACAACACAATCATGATATTATTGAATAAATAAATGTTAGCTTAAGGAGCCACATTGGATCAGTGAGTAAGATGCTGGCTTGGTAACAAGGAGGTCTCAGGTTCGCTCCCGGTGATGGTCAAGAAAGTTCCTCACAGTTTTCTGGTACAAAATCCCCTTGTCATTGGTGCAGGACGGAGGGTCGTTAAGGTCCTGTAGCCAGAATAGCCAGACAAACAGAATTATTTGATGACTACATCTATCTTCTGTATCATAAGGCCTGTCATTGAGTCAACTGGCCTGGTTTCGAAACCCACGGTTGTACGTGACAAGGAGTAGGGTGGCCTGTCCAACCTCGTGGGTTTTCTCCCGGTCCTCCGGTTTCCTCCCTCGGCTAAAGCCCCCCCACGTGCAAGCGAATTATTAAATAAAATTAAACCATATGTTAGTCCCGAAATGACCTAGTTTGTGTTGAGTGGACGTTAAACCCCATTTCTCTCTCTCTATCTTCTGTGATTAACAATTAAACCAAAACCATAATTTGAATCAAGTTTGAACATTTGTCTTTAATTTTTTTCATGCAGCCATCTTTAATGGTCTTTGTTGTTTATAATTAAATAATAATAATTCTGAGACCTGTTTTCTATAAAGGTTATTTGGGGTACATGGGATTTGTTTAATAAGTAAAAATGGTAAATGGCTGGGTGAGTTAAGCACTGGCTCATGAACGAGGAGGTCCTGGGATATTTTAGCACAGTTCTCTAGTATCAGTTGAAAACTACAGGAGAGAAAGTCTGACAAGTAACCACTATAACTCAGGTATCATTTAATCTTGTGTATCTAGCACTATCTTCTTTCACGTTCATTGAATATCAAATCTCTGTTTGACAATTAGTAAAAATTATTTAAAATCACCCAAAATCATCTAATTTATACTTGTGTCCAGTTTAAAGCTGAATGATTAATTTGTATAATGAGTGTCCCAATTTACAAGAATTTAATTTCCTGGCCACTGTTCAAAAATTAATCATTATACATCATTAATCAATTGGGTTGTTTATTTTTTAACAGTGATTGAAAATTTAAACGCTTGTACACTGGACTTTCACTATCAAAATTAAATGGTCAGCTTTAACTGGACACAAGTACAAATTAGATGAATTTTGGTGATTTTAAACGATTTTTTAAACAAAGATTTGATATTGAATGAATGTGAAAGAAATTAGTGCTATATAAAAAAGATTAAATGATACCCAGTGTGTAGTCCTTTCGTACGAAACACCAAGGTCCCCGGTACAAGTTGGTGTACATGTAAATTCAATATCACATATAATGACGCTTTAGATATACAGAAACAACTTCATGCTTTACCATGACGACTGATTTCACGGCTACGAAAGAGTCCGACACACTTCACCTTTGGTCTGAAATAGTTACCCTATCATTGGTTCTTCACAAAAAACACTCAAACTTACACTTCTTCACAAAAACACTCAAACTTACACTTCTGCACTTTCTGATACTTCTTCCCAATCTTCCTCGTTAAAATTAGAAAACATGGCTGACATTTTCTCAATACTTCTATTTAATGCTCTTTGGTACTGAAATAAAAAAAATGTTTGAGAAGTGAAAGTCATATGAACTGTTATTTTTGGCCCACGCCAAGAATCTAACTTGTGAGATGCTATTGGGAATGAAATGAAATGGGGTTTAACGTCCTACTGTTCTGCTCCTAACCTGGGCTAGTGAAGACGGGCATATGCCATTCAGTGTCAGTATGCTATGAGGGAAATTTTGCCCGGACAGAAGCACTATGGCCTACTCTTATATTGAATTCCAACTGTCAAGGGATCTTTTACGTGCACGCCCACCACCCCACTCGATGAGCGAACGCATCTGTTAGGATGGTTATGGAGAGGGAATATAGACAAGGTATTCGTACCTGTTTGGATGGTTTTGATCTTGTTCTACGTTTGTTGATTCTATATACAGGTAATCTGGGTAATAATCCACGAGACATCTTTACATCACTGGAACTATCAGGAGATGAACTCTTCACTCCGTCCTTTTCACTGATCTTCGACGACTGATTGCTCTCATCAATTTCTCGTTTCAATCTAGAAACAGATGAGGAAAAGAACAACATTAAAGGTCACCTGAAAAGCTTCATAATTTTTTTAAATACCGTAATTCTAAGAACACAAGTTATTATGTCAACCTAACCTTTCCATAAGTACAACACGAACCTGAATGTCAATATTACCTACAACAGATAAATTTCAATGTTAATAATTTCCGCTGTTCTCTGTGAGTAGTTGTAACTTTCCGTCAATAAACAATCCGTGACGTCATTTTAGTCCTTCTGCTCACAGAAATAAAGACTAGAGTTGATTTCAAAAGATCAATAGGAACGCTGATAATCTTACTAATGGCTATTGATTGGTGTACGTACCAAAGTTTTGATCAGGATGTGAAATGTGGGAAGTGGTATGAAATGAAATGAAATGAAATGGAGTTTAACGTCCTACTTTTCTGCTCCTAACCTGGGCTAATGAAGACGGGCATACGCCATACAGTGTGCTATGAGGGAAATTTTGCCCGGACAGCGGCACTACGGCCTACTCTTATATCGAATTCCAACTGCCAAGGGATCTTTTACGTGCACGCCAATGTGTACACGGGACCTCGGTTTTTCGTCCCATCCGAACGACTAGACAGCTTTCCTTGTCAGCCCCTCCGTCCTGCATCACTGACAAGGGAGAACCACGCCGGAAGGGAAGTATATGACGTTGACGTGAGAGAGAAATGGGATGTAATGGCCACTTGACGCAAACTAGATCATTTTGGGACAAACATATGGTTTAATTTTATTCCAATAATTCGCTTGCACATTAGGGGTCTTTAGCAGACGGAGGAAACCGGAGAAACTGGAGGAAACTGTACATCTGGTTGCACCTCTCGTTCATTCTCGGGTCCCATGTATATACCATCCAGATTACCCGGACACTAGAGTAACCATGATCATCTGGACACTACATTACAATTTAAAATGAAATGAAATGGGGTTTAATGTCCTACTTTTCTGCATTGACTGGGCTAATGAAGATGGGCACAGTCTGCTATGAGGGAAATTTTGTCTAGACAGCAGCACAATAGCCTACTCTTATTTCAAATTCAAGTGCACGCCAATGTGTACACAGGACCTTGGTTTTCCGTCCCATCCAAATGAAATGAAATGAAAATGAAATGGGGTTTAACGTCCTACTGTTCTGCTTCAAACTGGGCTAATGAAGACGGGCATACGTCATACAGTGTGTTATGAGGGAAATTTTGCCTGGACAGTGGCACTACGGCCTACTCTTATATCAAATTCCAACTGACAAGGGATCTTTTACATGCACACCAATGTGTACACGGGACCTCGGTTTTCCGTCCCATCTGAATGACTAGACAGCTGTCCTTGTCAGGTCCTTCATCCTACATCCTACAAAGCTGGATGAACTTTCTCAGCCAATGCAGGGATCGAACACCCGACCTCCAGGCTAGCGAGCCAGCCATCTTACCCACTCAGCCATTGTGACCCCCCATCCGAGTGACTAGACACAATTGTAACTCAGCCCTGCGTACAAATATAATATACCCTACCTGCTTGTGTCTCTCTTTAAATTAGCTATCGTCATTCTATAATCAGCAGTTTCTCTTCGTAAATTTAATAATTCAGATTTGAGATTCCTTTAAATATAGATTATACACAGATAAAGCAATATGGGGTTTAATGTCTTAGTCATTGTGTTACTATGGTAATTTATATATTGCCTGCTGAAAATGGGGTTTATCATCCTATGCCATGCTGTGTGCTACTCTTTGTTTCGAACTGTCAAGGGTAAGTTGGACACCCAACCTTAGTTTTGCATCCAATCAGTACATCTATGAATGAAATAAAATAACTTTCTGTCCTACTACACATGACAGGCAAATATATAAACATTACCAGGAAGACTGGCTAAATTGGAGTTTTCTCCCTTTGATTAAAATACCACCGTACTACAAGATTCAGTTCTCTCAGTAATCAAGATTCTCTATAAAAACAACAACAAGAGTTGAGGTTAGTTCAAATATCTTAATATCTGAACTTTTAATATCCAAACTTTTAATTCTGTTTTTTTTCTTCAAATCTTAAAATATCATTTCAGTAATTTGTTTGTGCGTAGAGGTGTTTAGCTGTGGGAGGAAAGCAGAGACCCTGAAGAAAACCCACGAGGTTGGACAGACAACCCTACTCCTTGTCACATACAAGTGTAGAATCGAAACCACGCCAGTTGACTCAATGACAGACTTTGAGATCTAAAGCTCATTAGATCGTTATACCACCCAACCAACTTAAACATACATTATGGGAGATTCTATAAAGAGTTGGCAATTCTCACTATAATAGTTAACTAGATAATGTAAAGGCAATCTGCTAAAAATTTCATTCAAATTGATCCACTATGAATTGAGAACTAAGCGATTGAAATTTCTGCCTAGCCTCGATCGTCATTACTAAAGTCAGTACAATAAACAAGCATAGTCTTGATTATCCATTTAATTGTTAAATCGTGAAGGAAAGTTATGCAGTAAATCGGCTCATAATCCACTAAAGATCGCAGGCTAGCGATGCCATCTAGAGTTGATTATGGTCTTGATAAGTTAATTAATGTCTAATTAATAATTTAGATAACATTTCAGGCCTAAAGAAAGACCTGCAATAGACAGATTTAGCTCTTGTATAATGTATGTTTAATCTTAATTAGACAGCAGATACAATGATCTGTTTATCAGAGCTTTTTAAAATATTACGCAGTTTTTCGCTGTCCCCTCCCAACACCTAATCAGTCGCCCTATCCTCGTACTGCATCACTCCAAAACAATGCTGGAAAATCCTGAAAAACTTTCTAGGCCAACACTGGAATCAAACCTGTGCCTTACTCACTGATCCACAGTAGCTCCGAAATGACTTGGATTTCAGAAGCTAAAAGAATTTATCTACTCACCTCTTTTCCTCAATCAGTAAATCTTTAACACTGCTTCCTTCCCGGACATCTTTTTCTAACTTTCTTATCAAAATCTCTTTACTTTGTAACTGAAGTGTCAATTAATCATATAAATTACTTTTATCATTCGAAGAATACACATAGCTAAAAATATCTATTTGATGTTTGTATGATTCAAAGGGAGCTGGCAACTTGTGCTCTAATAGCACCGATACAGTCAGCATTTCATATTTGTATTTCCAAATGTCAGGGCATCTTTAATTTATACCGGACCTGAGTCCAATCCCGGGAACTGGAGGTTACCAGGCCGTCTATCCTGAACAACTGACAAGGGGTTTAGAGAGAAACAGAGAGAGAGAGAGAGAGAGAGAGAGAGAGAGAGAGGTTTAAGGTCCACTCGACACAAACTAGGTCATTTGGGGACTAACATATGGTTCAATTTTATTTCAAAAATTTGCTTGCGTGTAGGGGTCTTTAGCAATGAAAGGAAACAGGAGAATCTGGAGAAAATATCCGCGAGGTTGGACAGGTAACCCTACTCCTTGTAACGTACCAGCTGAGAATCGATACCATGCCACATGACTAAATGAGACCTTCTTATCTATTCGGCCACCCAACCACGCAAACTAACAAGGGGAAACCAAGATCAAAACTGGGATAGCCCTCTAGAACTCGTGCAATACCCACTTAGCCAGCATGAAATGTACAATAATTGAATATTACCTGTGAATTTAAACTCAACCCCCATGACTAGTACAATAATCAAATATTACATGAACGTATTATATTACCTGTGAATTTAAACTGTGTAATCAAATATTACCCGAACGTATTATATTACCTGTGAATTTAAACTGTGTAATCAAATATTACCCGAACGTATTATATTACCTGTGAATTTAAACTGTGTAATCAAATATTACCCGAACGTATTATATTACCTGTGAATTTAAACTGTGTAATCAAATATTACCCGAACGTATTATATTACCTGTGAATTTAAACTGTGTAATCAAATATTACCCGAACGTATTATATTACCTGTGAATTTAAACTAGTACAACAATCAAATATTACCAGAACATATTATTACCTGTGAATTTAAACTGTGTAATTGTGTTTCTAATTCTGTTCTATCTTTATTATCAAACTGTAATTTCTTTATTTCATAATCATGTTCTGTAATAACAAAACTCCATTATCAATACAATACACATAGTCATGTTCTGTAATAACAAAACTCCATTATCAATACAATACACATAGTCATGTTCTGTAATAACAAAACTCCATTATTGATAACATACAAAGTTTATTCTCCAGGTTCTTCAACCCGTAAACACGCCATCCTTAATTTTGGGACTGCATCTCCATAATCTTTATTAAAGTTTGCATCCAATACAATCATAAGAACAACTGTTTTATAGTGTAGGTTGTCACACACTGGTCAAGGCCTCTATCTCAATATCCTCTCTATCTTGTTCTAATTATAACTCATGTTATATTTATCCTCTCTAGCTAGTTCTAGTTGTAACTCATGTTATATTTATCCTCCCTAGCCAGTTCTAGTTGTAACTCATGTTATATTTACCCTCCCTAGCCAGTTCTAGTTGTAACTCATGTTATATTTATCCTCCCTAGCCAGTTCTAGTTGTAACTCATGTTATATTTACCCTCCCTAGCCAGTTCTAGTTGTAACTCATGTTATATTTACCCTCTCTAGCTAGTTTTAGCTGTAACTCATGTTATATTTACCCTCTCTAGCCAGTTCTAGTTATCACTCAAGTTATATTTACCCTCCCTAGCCAGTTCTAGTTGTAACTCATGTTATATTTACTCTCTCTAGCTAGTTCTAGTCACAACTCATGTTATATTTACCCTCTCTAGCCAGTTCTAGTTGTAACTCGAGTTATATTTACCCTCTCTATCTTGTTCTAGAGCTAATTGTAATTCATGTATAGCAGCAGCATCATGGCTTGCTTGAACTCGTAACATATCAATCTCTTCCTGCATGTTCATGCTACAAAATAAACAAACATTATAAATCAATGAAATAAAGAGAAGCGAAATGGATTTAACACTGATTAGGTCATCACGAGACTGACATAAGGTATACTTTAATTTCAATAATCAAATGAAACGGGTGTATACAAAAATTATCCCTAATTCTTGTCACCAAACACTCAAGAAGGCAATGAAGGTAACGAAAGAAAGGGAGAGAGAGAAATGGGGCTTAACATCCACTTAACTCAAACTAGGTCATTCCTGGACTAACATATGGTTCAATTTTATTTAAATAATTCGCTTGCGGGTAGGGGTCTTTAGCAGTGGGAGGAAATCAAAGGACCCACGAGGTTGGACAGGTGACCCTACTCCTTGTCACGTACAACCGAAACGACGCCAGTTACTTCAATGACAGACCTTATGATACAGCGCGCACACACTAACCATTCGACCATCCAACCCCTCACGAAAGAAAGGAATGGAAAAAATGAAGTTTAACGTCCTTCTGTTCTGCACCAAGTGCTGTAATCACTGTAACCCAGGTATCATTTAATCTTGTGTATCTAGCACTAATTTCTTTCACATTCTTTTAATATCAAATATTTGTTTAAAAATTCGTAAAAATCGTTTAAAATCACAAAAATCATCTAATTTGTACTTGTGTCCAGTTTAAAGCTGACTGTTTAATTTTCATAATGAGTGTCCAATTTACAAGTATTTAATTTCCTGACCACAGTTCAAAAATTAATCATTATACATCATTAATCAATTGGGTTGTTTATTTTTTAACAGTGATTGAGAAATTAAACACTTGTAAATTGGACACTCATTATCAACATTGAATGGTCAGCTTTAAACTTGACAGAAGTACAAATTAAACAATTTATGGTGATTTTAAACAAAGATTTGATATTAAACGAATGTGAAAGAAATTAGTGCTAGATACACAAGATTAAAATGATACCTGGTTTACAGTGAATGAAGACAGGTGGATATGAATGTATTGTGCTACGTTGGGAATATTTGTCCGGACTTCTAAGCTTACGGCTCAGTCTTATTTCAAATTCCAACTGTTTAGGGTCTTGCACAACTGACATGAGGAGGAACTTTCTCGACCATTATTGGGATTGCTCCCTGCACCCCCTGGTTAGTAAGCTAGGGTCAGAGTTCACAAAACATTCTCAGACTTTAGTTAAGAATTTACTCAACTTTCAATCACTGTTTATGAGAAATATCTTTGATACAAAAACACAAAACTTTGCACACATTTTCTTTTTGATGTATTTGATACATAAAAACAACAAAGTTTTTATAAAGGCGAAGAATTTTGAGTAAATTCTTAACTTAAGTCTGAGAATGCTTTGTGAACTCGGGGGGCAGTTCCTTAATCATTGAATCACTGTGTTTCTCATAAAGGAAATTAAACTCTAGTGATGGATATTGCCATCATGATATGATACGTAATGTGATTCATGTGCTACAATTCAATTCGTATCACGATTCATAACCAGGTCAATATTCATCAAAAAAATAACAGGATAAATGAATAACTGATATTTTTAGTCCTGCCTAAACTGTTTTATATCACAATATTGATGTGGATCAAAATAAGGATCAAAACAATTTAACAGTGTTTGTGTACCTTTAGATAATATGGGACATGGATAATTAAGACTGACAGGTTACTTAACGAAGCGATAATAAAACATTAAAAAAAAAGAATCGAGACACATCAGTTCTGCATCTCGCGATTCAATACGCAAATCGTGAGAAGGTGAATCGTGATACCTCGATTCTGCGATACTTCCTGCCACACCACTATTAAAGGGCCAATCCTGATAATATTTTGGAGAATAAAACTGCTTAATTTTGTGTTAAAATCCCATAAAATCCTCTACCTAAGGGCCGAGACTCTGTTCAAATCAGGATAGTCCCTTTAAGCTAACGGCCAATTTTTTTCATCTAATGCAGTATCCAATTATTGCATGATTTCATCAGTCAAAATAAAATCTATCTACTTACTTTTCGACCGCGAGATTTCTGTTTTCACGTTTAAAATAGTTGAGTTCATTCCACACCCCATCACTGTCTTCTTTCGTTAAGGACCTGGGGTCAGATCGACGAACCTTTTTCTTCTTGTTCTGTTCGTCCTCTAGTGTTTTAAGTTGATCTTTAACGGTTTTATAACTGGCTTGGAGAGATTTTAACCTTTCTAATCTTTTGTTGTGAACCTTTCTTAAATCAGATAATTCTTTGGTCTAAAGTATTAAAAAAAAAAATCATTTAAACACGCATTATGCAAGAGCTAAATCTGCCTATTACAGGTCTTTCTTTAGGCCTGAAATGTTATCTTATTTATTAATTAGACATTAATTAACTTATCCAGACCATAATCAACTCTCAATGCCATCGCTAGCCTTCGATATTTACTTGGTTTGAATACATTTTGTGATGGATGATTTAACGTCAAAATGGATAATCAAGACTTTGTTTTTTATTGTATCGACTTTAGTAATGATGATCGAGATGAGGCCTAAAATTCAATCGCTAATATCTTGGTTCAGAGTGGAGCAATTTGACTGAAATTTTCAGCATATTCTGTTTTCATTGTCTATTTTTTAACTATTATAGCGAAAACTGTCAGCTCCTTATCTAATCTACCATAATGGCCCTTTAATATTTCATGAAAGAGAATGAAAAAGAAATGTAAAGGTATCTAGTTTCAAATCTCTGACATCTTTTGAAGCCAAATGTTAATATCAATATTTTTATTTCTATTGGTGCATGTGTAATTCAAGAGGGAGAATTCCCCTACAGCAGTCATTTTGTGAATGCCTTTGCTTTATTGAAAATACTGTTTCTTTCTAATGGGAACGTACCAATGTAGACGATAAATTTTTGACATATTTTGTTTACTTCAGAATAGCAAGATATTTCCCAAAGAATATGACTGTTTTTAGCTTTAAATATATTTATAAGTGTTTTTACACCTAAAAGTCTTAAATCTAAATGTATTTATTGTGTTTTAGGGTAAAATTTTTTAAAATCCTAATTTGATGGCATTTATATCGACTGACAGGTAAATTCTCCAACTGGTCAAATTCACAGTCAATCAGTCAAGACTGGTAAATATAACTGAAATGACTGACTTATAGATATAACTGTAATGACTGACAGGTAAATGTAACTGAAATGACTGACTGGTAGATATAACTGAAATGATTGACTGGTAGATGTAATGACTGACTGGTAGATATGACTAAAATGAATGACTGGTAAATATGGCTGAAATGACTGACTGGTAAATATGGTTGAAATGACTGACTGGTAGATATGACTAAAATGACTGACTGGTAAATATAATTGAAATGACTTGTAGACATGACTGAAATGACTGCTGCGTATTCTTACCTTTAAATGAAGCAAATGTTCAGTATCGTCTAGTTTTTTCCGTGTGTTAAGTAACTGACTATTCGGGTTGGTGTTACGGGTTGGTGAGCAGGAATGTGAACGACTAACGGTGCGATGTTTCGTCTCTCGTAATAAGCGTATAGGACTAGTAGCAACACTACGATGTTCACGAGATGGTGTAGAATGAGTTCTCTCCCCCTTGTTTAACTTAGAAACATCAAATTCTATAGAATGATCTAAGGTATTGTCGAGTTCTGTGATGATTCTGAAAAAAAGTGGAAGACAGAAAAATGAAAGTAGACCTATACAGTCTATCGAAATGGCTTGTTTCACTGGTCCAAATGCAATGTTTTCCGGCGTGGTTTCCCCTTGTCAGTGATGCAGGACGAAAGGCCTGACAAGGAGAGCTGTCTAGTCGTTCGGATGGGACGAAAAACCGAGGTCCCGTGTACACATTGGCGTGCACATAAAAGATCCCTTGGCAGTTGGAATTCGATATAAGAGTAGGCCATAACGCCACTGCCTGGGCAAAATTTCCCTCATAGCACACAGTATGACGTATGCCCGTCTTCATTAACCCAGTTTAGGAGCAGAACAGTAGGACGTTAAACCTCATTTCATTTCATTTCATTTGGAAACAGGGTTTTGGTGTTTCTCAACATCTTACACCAGAAACATTATGTATTATTAAAACCAACTTTTTTTTCTAAATAAATCTGAGCATGGATTAAACTATATACTGTTTGTAGAGAGAGAGAGAGAGAGAGAGAGAGAGAGAGAGATGGAGTTTAATGTCCACTCCACACAATCTAGGTCATTTGGGGACTAACAATATGGTTCAATTTTATTTCAATACTTCCCTAGCACTAACCATTCGGCCATCCAACACCCCCAGCCCCCACCCCCCTTTGTTGGCGGAAATGAAATGACATATGGATTAATGTCCTACTTTAATGCACCAAACGGTCTAATGAGGACAGACAGACACCTAAGATCGGATTAACCATTAGGCTAATAAGGCTATAGCCTTTGACCCTTAAAAACTTTCAGCCCTCAAATCTGGCTGAGGGTCGACTAATTTTTTTAGTCTTGAATAGTCTTAGGTAGCATACAGTAATATACATGTGTATTTATAATATAACTCAGTTATATACACATGTATTTATAATATACTAGCAGGATACCCGGCTTCGCTCGGGGGTCATAACTCCGAAACCGGAAGTGGTAGACTAACGCCACCTGGCCTATGTTTCCCACCCGGTCCGAGCTGCCCCTATACCCCAAATTTCAGACTCGGGGCAGACCTAGTGTAGCAGCCAACCCCGAACAGACCGGCTTCGCTCGGGGGTCATAACTCCGAAACCGGAAGTGGTAGACTAACACCACCTGGCCTATGTTACTCCTCGGTCTGAGCTACCCCTATACCCCAAATTTCAGACTCGGGGTAGACCTAGTGTAGCCGCCAACCCCGAACAGACAGACTTCGCTCGGGGGTCATAACTCCGAAACCGGAAGTGGTAGACTAACGCCACCTGGCCTATGTTACTCCCTGGTCCGAGCTACCCCTATACCCCAAATTTCAGACTCGGGACAGACCTAGTGTAGCAGCCAACCCCGAACAGACCGGCTTCGCTCGGGGGTCATAACTCCGAAACCGGAAGTGGTAGACTAATGCCACCTGGCCTATGTTACTCCCCGGTCCGAGCTACCCCTATACCCGAAATTTCAGACTCGGGGTAGATGTAGCCGCCAACCCCGAACAGACAGACTTCGCTCGGGGGTCATAACTCCCAAACCGGAAGTGGTAGACTAACGCCACCTGGCCTATGTTACTCCCGGGTCCGAGTTACCCCTATACCCCAAATTTCAGACTCGGGGCAGACCTAGTGTAGCCGCCAACCCCGAACAGATCGGCTTCGTTCAGGGGTCATAACTCCAAAACCGGAAGTGGTAGAGTAACGCCACCTGGCCTATGTTACTCACAGGTCCGAGCTACCCCTATACCCCAAATTTCAGACTCAGGGCAGACCTAGTGTAGCCGCCAACCCCGAACAGACAGACAGACAGACAGACAGACAAACGACAGTCACAAATATTAGTATAGATAGCTCAGTTATATACACATGTATTTATAAGATAGCTCAGTTATATACACATGTACATTTATAATATAGCTCAGTTATATACACATGTACATTTATAAGATAGCTCAGTTATATACACATGTACATTTATAAGATAGCTCAGTTATATACACATGTATTTATAATATAGCTCAGTTATATACACATGTATTTATAATATAGCTCAGTTATATACACATGTATTTATAATATAGCTCAGTTATATACACATGTACATTTATAAGATAGCTCAGTTATATACACATGTACATTTATAAGATAGCTCAGTTATATACACATGTACATTAATAAGATAGCTCAGTTATATACACATGTATTTATAATATACTAGCAGGATACCCGGCTTCGCTCGGGGGTCATAACTCCGAAACCGGAAGTGGTAGACTAACGCCACCTGGCCTATGTTACTCCCCGGTCCGAGCTACCCCTATACCCCAAATTTCAGAGTCGGGGCAGACCTAGTGTAGCCGCCAAACCCGAACAGACCGGCTTCGCTCGGGGGTCATAACTCCGAAACCGGAAGTGGTAGACTAATGCCACCTGGCCTATGTTACTCCTCGGTCCGAGCTACCCCTATACCCCAAATTTCAGACTCGGGGCAGACCTAGTGTAGCCGCCAACCCCGAACAGACAGACTTCGCTCGGGGGTCATAACTCCGAAACCGGAAGTGGTAGACTAACGCCACCTGGCCTATGTTACTCCCCGGTCCGAGCTACCCCTATACCCAAAATTTCAGACTCGGGGCAGACCTAGTGTAGCAGCCATTCCGAACAGACCGGCTTCGCTCGGGGGTCATAACTCCGAAACCGGAAGTGGTAGACTAACGCCACCTGGCCTATGTTACTCCTCGGTCCGAGCTACCCCTATACCCCAAATTTCAGACTCGGGGCAGACCTAGTGTAGCCGCCAAACCCGAACAGATCGGCTTCGCTCGGGGGTCATAACTCCAAAACCGGAAGTGGTAGAGTAACGCCACCTGGCCTATGTTACTCACCGGTCCGAGCTACCCCTATACCCCAAATTTCAGACTCTGGGCAGACCTAGTGTAGCCGCCAACCCCGAACAGACAGACAGACAGACAGACAGACAAACGACAGTCACAAATATTAGTATAGATAGCTCAGTTATATGCACATGTACATTAATAAGATAGCTCAATTATTTGAAATATATTTGTGTTACTTTTTGTTATTTTGTTCTTTATTAAGCAGCCTTAGTGCCCTTAATGTAGACACAATGTAATATGAGGGAAATTTTAATGACAGGGACGCTTTACGGAAAAATTCCTCAAATTCCAATCCTCAGACACACGGGTGGGTTTTCCGTCCAGACACTTTTCACACAGGCCCTCAATCCTGCAACAGTGACATGACAAAATCAGGTTGGAAATTCAGAGCAACTTTCCATAACAACACCTTGATCAAACCCAGACCCTTCGCGATATTCTATTCTACTCACAAGTTTGGTGTTCTCACTGCTAGATTACGACAGCCCCTGTCACTTACACAGTTTCCAATCATATTTATAATTTTTTTTATCAAGCAACAATTCAACTTCTCACCTGTTTTTATCAGTTAATTTATCTTTTAACAAGTCGATTTCTTTCTTCATACATTCTATTTTATACTCGTAGTCTAAAACAGGTTCCCCATCCTGAAACAGAACACAAAACTCATCTAAATTATAGACTAAAACAGGTTCCACATCCTGAAACAGAACACAAAAGTCATCTAAATTATAGTCTAAAACAGGTTCCACATCCTGAAACAAAACACAAAACTCATGTAAATTATAGTCTAAACAAGCCAACAGTGAGGCTGATGTCCCCCGCCGAAATAGGAAAATAATTAGAGGACACATATAAATTTATCACAAATTATCTTTTACAAAGTATTGAACAATCAAACAGTATATCTTTACTTATAGTCTAACAATCAAAGTAGGAGAGTTATTGTTTTCCAAAGTCTCGACCAATCAAATTGCGTATCGCTCTGCTTACCCTGAGCAGAAAATGCTCATTATCAAACTTAGTCAAGGTATTACTGTAATGAAACTATACACCAAGTTTCATCAATCTCACTTAATTAGAACTAAAGTTATCGTGTCCCAAAGCATCAACCAATCAAATTGCTTATCTCTGCTTACCCTAAGCGGAAAATGCTCATCTTCGAACTCCATCAAGGCATTGACCTAATCAACACATACACCAAGTTTGAACATTGTAGCTCAATTAGGAAGAGAGTTATCGTGCCCCAAAGTATCAACCAATCAAATTGCTTATCTCTGCTTACCCTAAGCGGAAAATGCTCATCTTCGAACTCCATCAAGGCATTGACCTAATAAACACATACACCAAGTTTGAACATTCTAGCTCAATTAGGAAGAGAGTTATCGTGTCCCAAAGCATCAACCAATCAAATTGCTTATCTCTGCTTACCCTAAGCGGAAAATGCTCATCTTCGAACTCCATCAAGGCATTGACCTAATAAACACATACACCAAGTTTGAACATTCTAGCTCAATTAGGAAGAGAGTTATTGTGTCCCAAAAAGTGTGACGGACAGACAGACGGACAGACAGACGGACGGACAGACGGACGAACCCATTTTAATAGTCCCCTGCTTTCTTCGAAAGGCGGGGGACAAAAAGGTTCCCCATCCTGAAACATAACGCAAAACTCATATAAATTATAGTCTAAAAGTAAAACAGGTTCCCCAAGTCAAAACAGGTTCCTCATTCTGCAAAAGTTAGAGAGAGAGAGAGAGAGAGAGAGTGAGAGAGAGAGAGAGAGAGAGAGAGAGAGAGAGAGAGAGAGGGTTTAACGTCCACACGACACAAACTAGGTTATTTCGGGACTAACACACTGTTCAATTTAATTCAATAATACGCTTGCGCGTAGGGGTCTTTCGCAGTGGGAGGAAATCAGAGGACCCGAGAAAACCCATAAGGTTGGACAGGCAACCCTACTCCTTGTCACGTACAACCGGGGAATCGAAACCATGCCAGTTGACTCAATGACAGACCTTATGATACAGCACACACGTGCTAACCATTTGACCATCCAATACCCCTCGCATAAGTTAGAGCAGTCCATGTTAATATCTAAAACTTTTTTTTCTTGGAAAATGTTAATTCAAACACTAATTTCCACAGATTTACAATTCTGTAACAATCATAGCAGTCTAAGAGTATTTTAATATCTAAAACTGATCTAAATCATAGTCTATAACAGTATACAAATTATTTCAAGGAGCTAAACATCTTTCACATAGTTCAAAATAAAATGTTGAATAAATTGATATGACTGGATATTTTTTGCTTCGTATGCCGGCACGATACATTGAATTAACTTTTTAAGTCACTAGAATTACAAATATTGACGGTGTCAAGTCAAATGTTACCTTAAATCTGTCGATGAAACTGCCATCTAGATTTTGTGGTTTATTTTTAGAACGTAGATTATCCTGTAACTGGGTTATAAAATTCTCTTTATCTAATAATTCCTGGAAGAGATAAAAAATTCTACATGTTACACTATATAAACAATTCTACATGTTATACTATATAAACAATTCAACAATTCTACATGTTATACTATATAAACAATTCAACAATTCTACATGTTATACTATATAAACAATTCAACAATTCTACATGTTATACTACAAACTTGAGACTCTTCACAAATGAACAGATAAGATTCACTTATAATCTGGGAGCAGTGAGTTAGGCTCGCTAACCTTGAGGTCACGGGTTCGACCTTGGTGATGGCCGAGAAAGTTTCTCAGGATTTTTTAGCCTGGATTTCCTTTGCCAGTGGGGAGTCACTGTGGCTAGGTGGGTAAGACGATGGCTCACTGGCCTGGGTATCGCGTTTTCGATACGGAGCCACGGTGGCTAGGTGGGTAAGACACTGGCTCGCTAGCCTGGAGGTCGCGTTTTCGATCCCTGCATTGGCCGAGAAAGTTCATCAGGATTTTCAGATGTGGTTTCCCCTTGTCAGTGGTGCAGGACGGAGGGCCTGACAAAGACAGCTGTCTAATCATTTGAATGGGACGAAAACCGAGGTTCTGTGTATACATTGGCGTGCACATAATAGATCCCTTGGCAGTTGGAATTCATTATATGAGGAGGCCATTGTGCCGCTGCCCGGGCAAAATTTCCCTCATATTTCACTGTATGGCGTATGCCCGTCTTCATTAGCCCAGTAGGAGAAGAACAGTAGGACGTTAAACCCCATTTCATTTCATTTCAATAATTTTGCTTGTACGTAGGGCTCTTAACAAAGTGAGGAAACAGTAGGACGAGACCTCAAGTTCACATTCTCAGACTTAAGTTAAGAATTTACTCAACTCTTTGATCAAGAAACACAAACCTTTGCACATAGTTTCTTATTGATGTATTTGATACATTAAAACAACAAAAGTTTTATACAGGGCTATATTTTAGTTAAAATAAGGCAAACAATTTTAAGTAAATTCTTAAGTCTGAGAATGCTTTGTGGACTTGAGGCCAGGAGAAAACCCTTAAAAGGACATTATGAAGGATTAGATAAAGAGCTGGTAGTTCTCACAATAATAGTTAAAAACTAGATAATGTAATGGGAATATGCTGAAAATTTCAGTCAAATTGCTCCACTCTGAACTGAGATATTAGTGATTGAGTTTTAGGACTGGCCTCGATTATCATTACTAAAGTCGATTATCCAATTTTTGGATTTAATCCTTAGTGCAAATCGATGCATAAGATGGCATCGAGATTTGATTAAGGTCGTTTCATGTTGATAAATTCTTAATTAATAGTTTGTATAACAATTCAGGCCTAAAGAAAGACTTGCAATAGGCAAAAATCATCTAATTTGTACTTGTGTCCAGTTTAAAGCTGACTGATTAATTTTGACAATGAGTGTCCAGTTTACAAGCCTTTAATTTCTTGACCACTGTTCAAAAATTAATCATTATACATCAATAATCAATTGGTTTGTTTATTTTTCAACAGTGATTGAGAAATTCATTATGCCTGTTTAAAGCTGGGCTGGCAACCTAACAGCTTGTTACATACAATGTTAAGATCAAAACCATGATACCTGACTCATAGACCATCTGATATAAAAGCACACAGACCATCCAATCACCCCCCACTCCCACCCCATTATCAAATCGGTTACTGACATATTTGCTTTAAAAAGAGAGAGAGAGAGAGAGAGAGAGAGAGAGAGATAGAAATGGAGTTTAACATCCACTCGACACAAACTAGGTCATTTCGGGACTAACATATGGTTTAATTTAATTTCAATAAATTGCTTGCGTGTAGGGGTCTTTAGCAGTGGGAGGAAACTGGACAGGCCGAACCTACTCCATAGTCACGCAAAACCGGGGATTTGAAACCACGCCAGTTGACTCAATGACAGGCCTTATGATACAACACGCACGTGCTAACCATTCGGCCATCCAACCCCCCACATTTGGTTTAAAATTAACAACAAATTATTACTATCTATTAACACTTTCCTTTTATTTATTTTGACTTAAATAACAGATTTCCAACTCAGATCTGCAGTTTAATCTAATCTAAACCTTTCACAAGAAATATTATGGTCTCCACGTCTCCATCATTCATGGTTATTAACCTTCTTTAAGGACGTCAAATTGAGTTTTTAGCTAGTTACGACGACTGCAAGGACTTTAGACGTTTTTAACGACTGATTGATTTAGCTTCAACAATGTCTCAACCAAACTCTGTCCTTTCGATTGCTTCAGTGATCTCGGGTTTGTTTTCAATACAGCTCTACTCGAAACCACTTCTCGTTTTCACCATTCGACAAAACTCAATATCTGTCCCAACCTTCTTTAATTAACTTTGACAAAAGCAAAGATTACTTCATGTTGAAAGTCTGTGGTTAATTTTCGTATTTTTGACCTTCAGGCTGCCGGACAAACGATATGACACCTCTTAATATCGCTACGCTACACCGAGTGACAGGGAAACTGTGACAAGACCGTGCTTAAATCAATAACCTGTGGCCAAATTTGGTACGAAAACCACCCGAACTAAATGACCAGTCGATGTAGCAACGTGTACGTTTAATTTAGATGTCTATTCCTTTGTCACCCCTAGGTCACACCCTAATGTAGACAGACACGAGTGCGTGATACCATGGCGTCATAAAGCTGACAATCTGCAAGATCCCGTTCATGGCTATTATAAATCTAAGGCCGAAACCGAATTAAAGAAAGAAAACTCTTTTAGCTATTATCGCTTCCATAATAAGCATGATGGAAGAATTGCAGCAAAAACTCATTCCCAGATGTACGATGCCGTCATGGCAATTGACAGGAGTAAAACTCAAGTTCATTTCTGCGAGTTGTGACTATTAATTAGAAGAACTTTTGTTCGCACCTTCTTGCTTTCAAATGTCCCAGTGTGTCAGTTCAAAGTGACAATTGACTTTGTATCCACGAAATTCTCCAAAGATTTGGATGCCATACATGCAATTAACTGTGTTGATTATCTGCACGTTTCTTCAACACGAAATTGCAATCTATATTTAGTGTCGTATATTTGAACATGTTTACTATCACAAATCAAACGGCAAACAGATCTCCTTTTTCAGATTTTGGGGAAGTTTTTATTTCTGCTCGTATCTTGAGATCTGTAGATCTATAGGATGTATTTTTTTGAGGTTGTAATTAATCTAAGGAGAGAATTGAACGATTGTTAGCAGGAAAAGAAAGTGTCATTTGTATTCAAACCTCATTTTTTCAAAACCCTAAGGTATACTAACCAAAGTGTACTAATCAAAAAGTTTGCACATGCATGAGGAAAAGAGAATAATAATAGTTCTTCGGGAACGAACAATTGTATTAATAAAAACTTTGCACATGCATGTAAAAAAATAAACTTCAGTTATAACAGCTCTTCTTTGCCTACCATTTAGTGTTTGAACATGTTAAAACACGTAGGGACCGTTTAAATGGAAGACAATCACCTGTTTATTATTAACATAGCGTAAGATTAATTTAAAGATACATTATGGGAGATTAGATAAAGAGCTGAGAGGTTCTCACTATAATAGGTAAAAACTAGATAATGTAAAGGGGATTTGCTGAAAATTTCATCAGTCAAATTGATCCACTCTGAACCAAGAATTTGGCGATTGAATTTGGGGCCTAGCCTCCATCATCATTACTAAAGTTGGTACAACAAAAAATATAGTCTTGATTATCCATCTTTTTAGTTAATCATGAATAAGTGTTAAGCAGCAGATCGGATTATAATCCAGTAAATATCGCAGGTAAGTGGTGACATCGAGAGCTGATTATGGTCTGGACAAGTTAATTAATGTCTAATTATTAATAATTTAGATAACATTTCAGGTCTAAAGAAAGACCTGCAATAGGCAGAGAGAGAGAGAGAGAATTTAACGTCCACTTGACACAAATTAGGTCATTTCGGGACTAACACATGGTTCAATTTTATTTCAATAATTTGCTTGTGCGTAGGGGTCTTTAGGAGTGGGAGGGAACCAAAGGACCTGGAGAAAACCCACAAGGTTGGACAGACGACCCTACTCCTTATATCAAAGGAAACACAGTTCAAAATAAACTGCTTTAGACTTAATCTCTTATTTGGGAGAATTCCATTATTGAGGATTAAAAACCTGCCATTCGATACCTGTAAGTGTTGCAAAGGCAGCCAAATGCTCCAAATATAAGTTTTAAACAGTTCTAACAACAAATCAAAAATATTTCTTGCAGCCTATTGTTGCTTAACAGAAAAACCTTTTACCTTTAGGACCAAAGTCCGTTTCATGATCTACCCCTACTGGGGCACCTTTTCAAAATCTTGCACACCTTGCTATGGCAATGTACAATGTAACACTGGTGATAAATTCAAATGAGTTTGTACAGGGATCATCGATAATAGAGATTATTACTAACCTTCTTCAATCTGAGAACTTGTTTTCTTAATTCTGATTCCGATTTCTTCAATTGTTCATATCTATTATTGATATCACCATAAATCTATTTAAAAAAACAACATTGTAATGTATTATATCTTAACATATATTGTAATGCATTGTATTGTAATGTGTCATATTGTAATTGTAATGAATTAAATTGTAGTGCATCATATCGTAATGTATCATATCACATTATAATGTATTATATTGTAATGTATTGTATTATATTGTAATGTATATTATAATGTATCATAGCATAATGTATCGTCATAATATACCATATTGTAATGAATCATATCAAAATTTATCATATTGTAATGTATTATATTATGTTGTATTATAATATATCATGTTGTAATGTATTATATTACATTTTAGTGTATTGTATTATATTACATTGTAGTGCAATGTATTATATTATAATGCATTATATTACATTGTAATGTATCATATTGTAATGTATTATATTACATTGTATTATAATATATCATATTGTAATGTATCATATAATATTGTAATGTATCATATTATATTGTAATATATATTATTAAAATGTATTATATTATATTGTGATGTATCATATTACATTGTAATGTATCGTATCATATTATAATGTAAATGAAATGAAATGAAATGGAGTTTAACGTCCTACTCATATTATAATGTAATGTATCACATTATATTGTAATGTATCACATTATATTGTAATGTATCACATTATATTGTAATGTATCATATTGTATTGTAATATTAAACTCTTTCATAGTGAACCAACACTTCTACCCTTCTAGTTTCAATGCTAACACCTTTCAATATTACTATATTCATACTTGCCAAGTTTTGATACTGACACAATGTTAAAATTTAATTCTTCAAAAATTTTAAAGATTTGTAATTTCAAGTGAATGTTTACAAACCTGTTGAACTGAGTGAGATTCTATAGAATAAGCAGCTTCCTGATTTTTCAACACTGAAATAAAACCAAAATATTTAGCACCAACAGGGTCAATCAAGACAAGCATACATCATACACCATACATCTACACAACGCATATACATCATACAACTACATCGTACATCTACATCATATATCTACATCTACACCATGCATCTACATCATATATCTACATCGTACATCTACATCATATATCTACATCTACACCATGCATCTACATCATATATCTACATCTACACCATGCATCTACATCATACAACTACATCATACATCTATATCGTACATCTACATCATACATCAACATCTACACCATGCATCTACACCATGCATCTACACCATGCATATACATCATACATTAACATCATACATCTACATCATACATTAACATCATACATCAACATCATACATCTACAATATGCATCTACATCATACATTAACATCATACATCTACATTAACATCTACACCATACATCTACATCATACAACAACATACATCATGTCTTCTCTTTATCAAATTTCAGCTGTCAAATTACATGCTCGCCAATATGCAAATAGAACCTCAACACAACCTCCATTTTTCATCCCACCAAAATGACTTTTCCAGGCCAAGCCCCCATTCCTCACCCTTTGTCAATTGAAATTATCAATTTTTAGACAGCCTTTTTTTTTACGCATTTTAAGATTTCTAGAAACTTTGAATCTTGTAAATCTGAGACAAAAACCTTATCAAATTAAAAATATTAAAAAAACTATTTAAATTTGAATATCCATTTGTATGGGCATGGCAAGGGAGACAAGAAATTGATAGTGAGACTTACTTTTTTGTGTGTCATTTTGTAAAGACTGTAACTGTCGTACCAAGTCTGCCTGTTGACTAGAATATTCCGTAAGTTCGTTATGGCTTATCCATAAATCAGATAATTCCTTTCTACAAAAATATACAAACAAACTTTCAGAATCAAAAATCTATTTGCTCAAATTTGCTATTTTCATAATAACCATTGCAAAATCCTCATCAAGTACACAATTTGCAAAAGAGAGAGAGAGAGATGGGGTTTAACGTCCACTCGACACAAACTAGATCATTTCGGGACTAACATATGGTTCAATTTTATTTCAATAATTCGCTTGCGCGTAGGGGTCTTTAACAGTGGGAAGAAACCGGAGGACCCGGAGCAAACCGGAGGACCCGGAGAAAACCCACGGGGTTGGACAGGCGACCCTACTTCTTGTCCCGTACAACCGGGGAATCAAACCCCACCAGTTGACTCAATGACAGACCGTATGATACAGCGCGCGCGTGCTAACCATTCGGCCATCCAACCCCTCCAACTCATCATTACATCACATACAAAAGACTACTGGACGGTAGGTGCTTCTTCTTTGCCTTACCCTGCTTTGTAATAAAACAAGATTTATTCATCTACCAACATCAGGATCGAACTAAGTTATATTTAGTAACAAATAAAAACATCGATAGGGTCCACCTACTTAAATATCTAAAATCGGTACACATACCTGACTATTTCGAGCTCCTGAGTTTTGAAATGAAGGTCATGCTTGGTTGACTGAAGTTCACTCACATATTTCTTGATAATCTTCTCACTTTCTTCCAGCTAAATAAAATTTAAATAACAATTTGAAAACCCCATAAACGCCTTTTCTAAAACATATATATATAGAGAGAAATGGGATTTAACGTCTGCTTAACACAAACTAGAATATTTCGGGACTTACATATGGTTCAATTTTATTTCATTAATTTGCTTGCGTGCACCTTTAGCAATGGAAGTAAACTGGAGGAGTCAAAGAAAACCCACGTGGTTTGACAGGCAACACTAGTACTCCTTGTCAAGTACAAGACGGGAATCGAAACCACTTGACTCAATGACAGACCTAATGATGCAAAGCGCACGCCTTGATCATTCGGCCATCCAACCCCCTGTTCTAAATATAAGGCGTCTAAATCAACAGACCACAATGATAGCGACAAGAGGAAAACGAAATCGTAAACACCATTTTATTATATTTCCGAAAATAAGCTGCAATTTTTATGTTAAGCAATAGATTTTACTTACTTCATGATTCAGTCTTTCAATCTTCACATTCTTCTCTGCCAACTCTCTTTCAAACGACTAAAATAAACAAAACATTTAATAGTCTTTAACAAAATTGATTTTATATCTTTTATAGTTAATAAAAAATTACGATCGTATCATGGACCAGGTATTGACCATGCTGACAGAGCCATAGGCTTTTTCGAAGACCGTTACCTCAAGAAGAAGAGATAAGAGATGTGGTTTAACATCCATTCAAAACAAACCAGGACATTTCCGGACCAACACATGGTTCAATTTTATTTCAATAATTCGCTTTAGCAGTGGGAGAAAACAGGAGGACCCGGAGTAAATCCATGAAGTTAGACATACAGCCCTATTCCTTGGCACGTACAACCGGGGAATCGAAACCACGCAAGAAGAAGAAGAAGAAGATGAGTAGTGGTTAGCGACCAGTTCCTGGTCCAAAAATTGTGTCTATGCGGTATTTATGCTCTATTATCTGATTATTGTTATTATTCAGAAAAGATTTCATGAACAACGTTTGTTAAAGTAAGGAGGGAGCAGGACAACTGCTCCTGGACAACTGCCCCCCAAATAACTTTGTTTTATTTTTTAAAATACATGTACATGTACCATACTTGATAAAAATAATATCTATCAAGAAGGGGTTTGTGATATAAATTAAAATATTTTGTTCTTTTGGGTTTTTTTTATTTATAGGAAATATATATTAATTAAAAATTATCTCTATTATACTGGACCACATAATAATAGTACAATTACACTTTATTGAATTTGCTGGGGGGGGGGGGGGCAATTGTCTGTGGGGCATTGTGCAATGGAGCAATTGTCCTAGGAGCAGTTGTCTGAAGGGCTTTTGTCTAGTGGAGCAGTTGTCTGAGGGGCAGTTGTCCAATGGGGCAGTTGTTGTCTGAGGGGCAGTTGTTGTCTGAGGGGCAGTTGTCCAATGGGGCAGTTGTCTTCTTGTTATCCCATCTGTGACACAAACTAGGTCATTTTGGGACTAACATCCGCTCGACACAAACTAGGTCATTTTAGGACTAACATATGGTTTAATTTTATTTCCATAATTCACTTGTACCTAGGGGTTTTTTAGCAGTGAGAGGAAACTGGAGGACCCAGAGAAAACCCATGAGGTTGGAGAGGCGACCCTACTCATTGTCACATACAATCGGGGATCGAAACCATGCAAGACAGACCTTATGATACACTGCGCACATGCTAACTATTTGGCCATCCCAACCCCCCTGCAAATTACGTACTTGTGAAAGTTGAATCTATAAAGGAATATAAGTCAAAAGTTGGTTCAATTGCGTTCAGTATTTACAAAGGTATTACTCCAAATATAATGGGGTCTACTGTTCTGCTCCGACTGGACTAATGAATCAGGATTTTCAGGTATGGTTTCCAATTGTCACTGGTGCAGGACAGTTGTCAGTGATGCAGGACAGAGAGCCTGACAAGGACAGCTGTCTAGTCATTCGGATGGGATGAAAAACAGGTCCTGTGTACACATTGGCATGCACGTAAAAGATCTCTTGACAGTTGAAATTCAATATAAGAGAAGGCCGTAGCGCCGCTCTTCATGCAATAGTTTCCTCATATCACAATGTATGGCATTATGCCCGTCTTCATTAGCCTAGTAGGATCAGACAAGTAGGAGGTTAAACCCCATTTCATTTCATTTTTATTAATCAGAAGAGATGCTTTAACAAATTTTATGCAATATTTACCCTGGCCGTTGCTTCAACTTGAATTCTGGTTGACAAATGCTCTGATTTCTCATTTCGAACTAAATCCAGTTCTTTAGTTAACTCTATTGTTCTCCTTTGAAATTCTAAAATTCATACAACCAAATCATATTTAATTCAAACAGTTTCAAAAAAGACAATTCAAAAAGAAAATATTCTAAATGAATTAAACTCTTGAGTCTATTATCAGATATATAAACCTACGTTGACAATTTCCTTCGATCTTTTGAGTGATCCTGTGTGGGATGTGATCTACTCACCTTGAGATAAGATTATGGGAGAGTCACCCTTTGTGGGATGGGATATACTCACCTTCAGATAAAATCTTGAGGAGTCATCCTTTGTATGATGGGATATACTCAACTTCAGATAAAAACTTGTTGGATGTGAATATCTTAGGAGAATAATCATTTGGGGGCTTATAAAAATATTTAATATTCACCTTGCTTCTCTCTTTCTGTAGCTTCTAAAGTTTTCTTGTGAATTTCATCAAAACTTTTCTCTCTAGTCTCCAGGGCTTGCACCTGAAATAATCAATAGTTTCAAAATTAAAGATACATTATGGGAGATTCGATAACGAGTTGGCAATTCTCACTATAATAATTTAAAACTAGATAACGTAAAGGCAATTTGCTGAAAATTTCATTCAAATTGATCCACTATGAACCAAGAACTAAGCGAATAAAATTTCTGCCTAGCCTCGGTCATCATTACTAAAGTTAGTATGTTAAAGAGCATAGTCACGATCCATTTAATCGATTAATTGAGAAGGAAAGTTATGCAGTAAATCGGATCACAATCCACTTAAGATCGCAGGCTAGCGATGCCATCTAGAGTTGATTATGGTCTGGATAAGTTAATTAATGTCTAATTAATAATTCAGATAACATTTCAGGCCTAAAGAAAGACCTGCAATAGACAGATTTTGCTCTTGCATAATGTATGTGGAGAAAACAATGGAAAAACAAGGGGTTTAATACCCTACTTTACTGCACCAACAGGCTAGTACTGCCCTGGATCTACCGGGACTTTTATATACACTGCCCTGGGGCTACAGTGGGACTTTAATTACACTGTCCTGGAACTACTGGGACTTTAATATACACTGTCCTGGAGCTACTGGGACTTTAATATACACTGTACTGGAGCTACTGGGACTTTAATATGTACTGTCATGGAGCTACTGTGACTTTAATATACACTGTACTGGAGCTACTGGGACTTTAATATACACTGTACTGGAGCTACTGGGACTTTAATATACACTGTACTGGAGCTACTGGGACTTTAATATACACTGTACTGGAGCTACTAGGACTTTAATATACACTGTACTGGAGCTACTGGGACTTTAATATACACTGTCATGGAGCTACTGGGACATTAATATACACTGTCATGGAGCTACTAGAACAGAACTTAAATATACACTGTACTGGAGCTATTGGGACTCATCAAGCAACATAGTGTAACTGTGAAACATGCACTACCCTAGAGCTATAGTGGGATTTTAACATATGTTCAGCCTTGGAGATCTACTCTTGGCTTTAATGTTGTCTGTAAATGTCGCCAATGTTTTAACAACAAGTATTGATTTATTTTATATAGTTGATTACCGTCAACATTATTCAGTCGTCTCATTCCTTATCTAACAATCATACCAGATAATTCAAAATGACAGAAAATTACAAAATAATGTCATCATACCATTACACAGTCAACAATTATGTATTTTTGTCATTTTATCCTCGAACGAACGCTCGATCGGATTAACTCTGATCGCTTTCCAGTAAAATTCTGCAATTTTTGTTCAATTTATCTTATGTAATCAATAAGCCAAGTGCAATTAGCGAACGATGTCCATCACAAATCTTTGTGTACTGTTTATTGACTGAATTTAGGAAAAGAAATGAAATGGGATTTAACGACCTTTTCTGCAACAATCGGCCTAGGCCATGCGAGAGAGAGAGAGAGAGAAATGAAATGAAATGGGGTTTAACGTCTTGCTCCTATACTGGGCTAATGAGAGAGAGAGAGAGAGAAATGGGGTTTAACGTTCACTCGACATACACTAGGTCATTTTTGGACTAACATATGGTTTTTATTTTATTTCAATAATTCACTTGCGCATAGGGGTCTTTAGCAGTAGGAGGAAACCGCAGAAAACCGGCGAGGTTGGAGCTATGCCATGCAGTGTGCTATATGAGGGACATTGAGTTTGAATTTACGAGCCACGGTGGCTAAGCGAGTAAGACGCAGACTCGCTAATATAATAGTTGGCTGTCCAGACAAAATTTCTTTCATAGCACACTGTATGGCATACTACTGTAACGTCCTACTGTTCTCCTCCTACTGGGCTAATGAAGACGGCCATATACCATACAGTGTGCTATGAGGGGAATTTTGCCTGGACAGCGGCACTACAGTCTACTCTTTCTTCGAATTCCACCTGTCAAGGGTTTTTTATGTGCATGCCAATGTGTACACGGTACATCAGTTTTTCTTTCCATCTGAGAGAGAAATGGGGATTAACGTCCACTCAACACAAATGGTAAGCAGTGAGAGGAACCCGGAGGACCTGGACAAACCCACGAGGCTGGACAGGTGAACCTACTCCTTGTCACGTACAACCGGGTAATCAAAACGACAGCCAACTCAATGACAGACCTTATGATACAACACGCACATGCTAACCATTTGGCCATCCAACCCCACCCTAGCTTGATAAAGACTAGGGCATCCCAGTGGAAAAGCTGCTCAGTCATAAAAAGGAATTATACTCCTCAGAATTGTGTTTTGTCTATCTAGGACCGAGGTGGTGGAAAAAACTTTGTGCAAAAACTTATTCTGGAAACCCATGTTTTACTAAAAAAAAAAAAAAAAAAAAAAAAAAAAATTCTAATCACAGACAATTTATATTGCTGGATATAAGGGGCAAGGGGGGAACCAAACCCTGGGTCCCTCACCTAAAATATTACCACAGATATTGTATTGTAGGATATAAGGGGCAAGGGAACAACACCCTGTGTCCCCCACCTCTCCCAAGTTGACATTTGAAGCAACTCAACTCATCTAAATGTTTCTTTAGAAAGATGATCATGAAGAGCTTTGTTTGTTTTTTTTAAAATAAATAAATTTTAAAAAAAATATAGCCACCGATATTGTAGGATATAAGGGGTAAGGGGACCAAACCCTGTGTCCCCCACTTAAAATATTACCACAGATATTGTAGGATATAAGGGGTAAGGGGACCAAACCCTGTGTCCCCCAACTCTCTGAGTTGACAACCATATCTTCATCTGAAGCAACTCAAATCATCTAAATGTTTGTTTACAAAGATGAAGAGTTAAAGACTGAGTCACATATTGAGTATATATTGGCTTCAATCCAACATCAAATCTCCACTACAAGACAATCCTTCCTTTCAAATATCAAAATGAAAAGCAACACAATTTTATACGGATGCCAGTTTGTTAAAGATTTAATATTGAAGATGACATTTTATTCGTTTCTACATGGCAAGTCAAGCTTTCAATAAACATCATAAACCCGAGAAGAGACAGCCTCATAATCGCTTCATTTGCCGCTATCTAATGTCGCAAAGAATAAATCTCTTAGGAAATTCAATAATTGTCTCGATCATATTATTCCACTAACTTTATGCTTCCAAATATTCAAAGGAGCAATTCACAGAAATAGATGAAAAAAAAAGGGACAGATCACATTTGGGCAAATCACCGCCCTGAAAACTCTACGACCCGTAAGAAGTCAGAAGATTCTTTTAACTAACGCTACTTAACAAAGTTTGCTAAACAGGAATGTTTTCTCAAACAAGCCGCACATTAAGTTTAATGAATCTAATTGAATAGCCAGAGACATAAATAGAAGACATGAAACGAAGGGGAGCTGAAAAGATAAAATTACACTATTCCATGTGACAAATCACTCGATGACCTTAGAGAATATTTTCTCGACCCTGGTTACAGAATCGTTCTTTTATCTTCTGACAACATCAAAAAATCGCGCGCGAAATTGATGAGTTAGTTCCGTTGCTGGCGACTGTAAAGCATGCTTAGAAACCAGTATACTGTGCTCGATCAGGTTCTGATGACAAATTACGACACCTAACCCCTACGTCTACAGTTGGCTAAGCAAACCAATGTATTACACAACCTAATAATCGTAGAGAACCGACAACAAGATTTGCAATGATTTTCTACGACACAGACGTCCCAGCAATCAATATAACTAGTACGGATGGGCAAGCAGAAACGACGTTCATAATTGTACGCTGTGGCCATGTGTTGGTTATAGTCAGTCCAATCCTTCACGGAGACCACATAATTAAATAACAACAAAATGCAATTATCAAACTTCGTAACGGCCATTACAAAAAAACTACTCTCAATACAATAAACTTGTCTTTGATCCCAGTGACGCTATGACAATTTTTCAAACCACATAATTAATTACACTGCGATACTCGCTAATATTAATCTGACAGACAATCGTTTTGTTTCCGATGTTTGCAATCAGTTCATTCAATAATTAGGCATGTTTAATTTCCTGGAGGGGGAAATGTGTTTATGGTAAACTGAAGTGGTATTAACATCCACTTTACGTAACGACCATTTATTCCTCTCTCGATGACAGCCCAGCAACACGATCATTTCAGTGTTTTCTGTCTCAATTGACATTTTTGATCTCCTACATTGATTGCCACACATTGTCCATTTATCAATTCCAACAATATTCCGTTTGGCTGTTCTTTCTTTCGCAAACTAAATTGTTTCTTGTAATTTTCTAATTTCATTTTTACTCCAAGCCATTAGTCAGGGAGGTGGTTTTCTTGTAATGTAGCAATTATTGACTGCGTTTTGGAACAATTGCATGGGTGGCCAGTCAAAACAAATTTTTAACTTTAAACTAATAAACGGATAAAAAAACGGATTCTTTTCGTCATGTTTGGATTTTTCTTTTTTATCATTTTTATTTCAAAAAGACATTTTACGGAGCGATAAATTAAATTAACGAGGAGAATGTTTTGTCCTTATACCAGAAAAAAAAATTAAAACATATCACTTTGAACATTTGTTACGCTTATAAAATCATAATTGATTTTTTATTCAATTCCTTGGTTTGAAACTGTTTGACGCACATCAGTTCATTCTGCAAGAAAGACGATCATGTGGACTGATGGATGGACTTTAAAATTTACAAAAAGTTTAAATGAAAGCGACCGCAAATGTCACTCCAATTTATTAACGAATTTAACGTTTTTGATCATCTTCATTATGGGGGCAGAAAAGTGAGAGTGAGAGAGAGAGAGAACGTCCATGCAACACACACTAGGTCATTTTGGGACTAACATGGTTCAATTTTATTTCAATAATTCGGTTGTGCATAGGGTTCTTTAGCAGTGGGACGAAACTGGAGGACTCGGAGAAAACTCCTTGTCAAATACAACCGGTGAATCGAAATCACACTAGTTGACTCAATGACAGACCTTATGATACAATGCACA